TGAGGCGGTGAAGACGACCTCGGCGGAAAACCAGGGGGGGTCTCCAAGCGTGGAGAGCGGCGAGTGGTTGCCGTGTCGTCAGCGGCGGGGTCACCCCCCTCAACTGGGCCAGAGGAGTCAGAAGAGATCTCCAAAGGCTCAACCAAGGGGGGTGGGTCTACCTGAGACACACCTGAGGGAGCAGGACCCTGTGGGGGGAGGGGGTCTACCGGGGGGGGGGACTGGTACCAGGAAGAGAGGCGCTAGGGGGACCGGGTGGGACGCGTGCGGGTGTAGCCTGTAGAAACAGGCAGACTCGTCAAATGTGACGTCCTGGGAGGAGAAGACTCGACCCGAGCGCGGGTGGTAGAACTGCCACGGTGGGGCATCGGTGGGGAAGCCAAGGAAGACGCAGCGGAGAGTGCGAGAGGAGAGCTTGCTCGCTTTGGCATCGCGAACAAGGGAGAGCGCGCCCCAGACCCGAAACACCGACGCATCGCCAACCTTTCCCGTCCACCGGAGTGTGGGCGAGGTCTCTGGCTCAGAGACACGGGGCCAGAGGTTGAGCTGATGCGCATCGTATCGGACCGCAAACGGCCACAGAAAATGGGGAGCAGCCGCATGGATCATGGAGGTACGAGCAACCTCCATGATCAAGCCAATGCGACGATCAGCAATCCCATTTTGCTGAGGAGAGGCCGGAAGCGTGAACGTCTGGCGGAAGCCCTCGTCTCGACAGAACTCCTCAAAGAGGCCAGAACAGAACTCACCGCCCCTGTCAGAGTGCAGACATAGGACTGGCAAGTCCCGCCGAAACTTCTCGCGCAGCTGGTGACGAGTAGCACGGATCCAGGGGATCAAAACACCACTGACGTCCGCCTTGCGCTGCAAGGGGAAGACAGTGGTGTAGTGTGTGTAGTCGTCAACCACCAGTAGGAGCGCTCCTGGTCCGTTCCACTGACGGGGGCCGGGCCCCACACGTCCATGTGGAGAGTCTGCAGAGGAGCAGTGGTCGGAGGAAACTCAGAGGAGTGAGGAGCGGCTCGCTGCCGCCCCTCGACGCAGGGAAGGCACGGCGGTGCAGGCGAGCGCGGGAGGGAGGGCAGGGACCTGGGAAGGCCAGAGACAAGGAGACGGGAGTGCATGCTGCGTAGACGCGGCAGCGAGGGTTGACCGAGGCGGTGGTGCCAGAGGAGAGTCTGGTGAGAGAGTACCCGACACGAGCAAAACGCTGCAAGCTGACCAGACGCAGACACCCGACTCGACGCAGCCACCTGACCTGACTCAGCCACATGTGCAGACGCAGTGGTCAGTATGTACAGACCGGACCCAGGCTGACGAGTGAACGTAGCAAGGTGACGGCCAGTCCATGAGCATGTACAGATCGCCACACGCTGTCCTCCAGGAATGAAGGTGTCAACCCATACATCCTGGAGAACTGCGTTGCTCAACAAGTTCGTCGAGAACGCGGGGAGGTGGAGACCTGAGAGAGACCCGGAGGGGACTGCCAGACACGGGAGGACAGTGGAGGCTCCCGCAACTACTGGGCCCCTAGTGGGGTCAGCCAGTGAGACTGGGACAGCGAGACTACGAGCTTCACTCTCTTGACTTCAGCACAGCCTTCTTACAGGGCAGCCTGCACGAGGAGATCTCGCTGGACCGCCCACCTGGCTTCACTGGGTCGTTCCCTCCTGGTACCCAGTGGAGCCTCAGGCGGCCGGTCTACGGTCTCCGCCAGGCGCCACGTGAGTGGCACGACACACTGAGGACGACACTTGCGGCTCTTGGGTTTGCTCCGTCGACTGCTGACCCGTCGCTGTTTCTACGCACCGACACTTCGCTGCCGCCGTTCTACATCCTCGTGTACGTCGACGACTTGGTCTTTGCCACTGCTGACACTGAGGCTCTCGCCCAGGTGAAGTCGGAACTGCAGAAGAGACACACGTGTACAGACCTGGGTGAGCTGACAAGCTATCTTGGCTTGCGGATCACTCGGGACAGAGCACGCCGCACCATCACACTGACTCAGTCACACATGGTGCAGCAGGTCCTTCAGCGCTTCGGCTTCACCTGGTCCTCGGCACAGCACACTCCTCTGGGTACAGGTCACTCGCTCTCAGCTCCACCTTCGGACGAGTCCGTAGAGCCGAGTGGTCCTTACCCAGAGCTAGTGGGCTGCCTCATGTACCTGATGACCTGCACTCGTCCTGACCTTGCGTACCCTCTTGGCCTTCTGGCTCGCTACGTGGCTCCTGGTCGGCACCGAAAGGTGCACATGGATGCTGCTAAGAGGGTACTACGTTACTTGTGCAGTACATCGGGCATGGGGCTCGTGCTTGGAGGGCGGAGCCCACTTGTCCTCACTGGGCACTCAGACGCTTCCTGGGTTGACGACAAGGCTACGCAGCGGTCGTCCCAGGGTTACACCTTCAGCCTTGGCTCTGGTTCGGTTTCTTGGCGTTCTACACGCTCGTCTTCAGTTCTCAGCTCCAGTTGTGAGGCTGAGATCTACGCCACAGCCATGGCTGCACAGGAGTTGCGCTGGCTCACCTACCTGCTGACCGACTTGGGAGAGAGGCTTCGTTCTCTTCCAGTGCTGTACGTCGACAACAAGGCTGCCATTGCCTTGTGTCAGGAGCACAGACTGAAGCACAGAACGAAGCACATCGCTCTGCGTTACTTCCTGGCTCGAGAGTTGCAGCAGCGTGGTCAGCTTCGTCTTGCTCACGTGGCCACTCGGGCCAACACTGCTGAGATATTCACCAAGGCGCTTCCGTCTGGTGATCATCAGCGTTTCTGCACTCTGTTAGGCCTTGTGCCTACGTTTCCTCACTTGCTGTAGACTTTGCCTGTACTGTGATCTATATATATACCTGCATGCTTGCTCTGCTAGGTAGAGATCACTGTGCTGTTGTTGTTGCATATATACCTCTGCATGTGAACTGGCCTTGTGGCCCTCTGCTTGTGCTCAGTGTGTGTGGTGACGTTGTGATCCACCCTGAGCTTGCTTTGCTTCTCTTGACTGGTCTTGTGACCCCTTGCTCTCCCCCACTTTGCCTATGGGGATGTGTCAAAGCATATGCATGTTATATATGTGTAGGCTGTAGTGGGGTAGCCAATATGGGGTACAGCCCTTTTTAGGGTTTCATACTTGTACCCAACTCTTTCATAGTTCATCCATTCCTGCTGCTTGATTCTGACAGTGCTGCGAGTGGTGTGACTGTGGTGCAATCACGAAAGAAGCAACGTGACGTGCCTGAGTCAAGTGTGAAAGTGTGCAAGGCCTCAGCTGAGGCAGGACCTGTGGCAGTAGACGCACTAGCACCTAGAGCGTCGGCAGACTCACGAGCACCTAGAGCTGCAGCAGACTCACTAGCACCTGGAGCGGCAGCAGACTCACTAGAATCGAGAGCAGCAGCCTCTACACAACCAGGGACGCATCGCTGAGAAGCACAGTCGCGAAGCCGCTGCAGGGAGAAGGTGCCCTGCGGACGCTGCTGCCGCCGCTGTGCAGTACCCATAAAACCAAAACCTCCACCACCAGGACTGCCTCGCTGAATAACCCACTCACGAAGCTGCTGAGGGGTGGGGTTGTCCGGGAGAGGCAGTGACTGCTGCTGTCCACCCCTAGCCGCTGCAACTACCGTGATAGTGGCCATGACAGGCAGTGACGGTCAGTAGCAGGTCCAGCAACTCCAGCACCTGCAGCACCTCCAGCACTCCCAGCAGCACCTCCAGCACCTTCAGCACCAGCAGCACCTCCAGCACTCCCAGCAGCACCTCCACCAGCAGCAGTAGTAGCACGAGCAGCAGCAGCAGTAGTAGCAGCAAGGCGGCTCGGTGGGGCTGGCGAATGAGGCAGGGCGGCGCGGCTCAGGTTGGGCAGCGCGGCTCGGGCTGGGCGGCGCGGCTCGGCCTGGGTGGCGCGGCTCGGCAAGGCAGGGCGCGCCGCGGGCTGCAGAGCAGGGCGCGCGGGCCTAAGGGCAGTGGGGCGCGCGCTGGGGAGGGCAGCAGGGCACGACGCGCTGGGCAGCAGGGCGCGACGCGCGGGCTGCAGCAGGGCGCGACGCGCGGGGCAGCAGGGCGCGGCGCGCGGGCTGCAGCAGGGCGCGGCGCGCGGGGCAGCAGGGCGCGACGCGCGGGATGCAGCAGGGCGCGACGCGCGGGCTGCAGCAGGGCGCGACGCGCGGGGCAGCAGGGCGCGACGAGCGGGCTGCAGCAGGGCGCGACGCGCAGGGCAGTGGGGCGCGCGCTGGGCAGGGCAGCAGGGCGCGACGCGCTGGGCTGCAGGGCAGGGCGGTGCGCGGGCCTAAGGGCAGGGCAGCGCGGCTCGCGAGCTGCAGGGCAGGGCGGCGCGCGGGCCTAAGGGCAGGGCAGCGCGATGCACGGGCTGCAGGGCGGCTGGGCGCGGGCCTAAGGGCAGGGCAGCGCGCGCTGGGCAGGGCAGCAGGGCGCGACTCGCAGGCTGCAGCAGGGCGCGACGTGCCGGCTGCAGGGCGCGACGCGCGAACTGCAGCAGGGGAGCGCGCTAGGGCAGGCAGTGCGAGTAGCTGCAGGGCAGCGCGACACTGTGCGAGCAGGGCAGGACAGCGCAAGGGCGCTTCGGGCAGGAACGAGCGGAACTATCAGTGGGCCCTAAAAACTTAACAGGTTTCCTGCTCTGAAACCATGTCAGAATAATCTGTGCAGGAATTATGAATGACTAGCAACAGGGAGATACAAGTATGAAACCCTAACTGGGGTTGTACTTATACTGAGCACCTCATTGTAGCCTAGCAGAACTAGGAACATACATATATGTTTTGACAGTATCTGCGGAGGGGGGGCTCGCTGGCTGACTGACCAGTGACCACACCAGATGTGTGGTTTCTCATAAACATCTCTCCTTAGCCTCGTTGTCAGTTTGGAAATAATGGGACAAGAAGAAGTCTAGCTTACAAATTGCTGCATGCCATTATTATGTGTTACAAGAAGCGACATATTCTGCCACAATAGCCTGCAGTGCAGTGCAACCTATTCACTCATAATTCCCCACCGTCTGCCTTCTCCGTCACCGGCAGCACCCCATGCCTCGCCATAGCCGCTCGAATCTGCTCTTGAAACATCTCCCGCCCTCGCGCTCTCAACTCTGTCCTGTACGCTGTGCTGCGAAACGCCTTCTTGATATCAACCCCGGGGCACGGGTGGTACCAGAGGCGCACGGAATACCCGCACTGCAGCGCCGTGCGCACAGACACTCTCCTCTCGTGGTAATCCCTGCCAATGACAGCCTGGCAGCCACACTCCCCAGTGTCGGCAAAAAACTCGCGGCACGGGGCCCAGGTAGGGGGCCGCTGCAGCAGGTGCAGGGCTTTAAGGAGCTCGGGCCAGAGCCAGAAGCAACCCGAGCCGCACACTCGGATGAGCGTCTCTAGCTTGTTGGCGTCGCCGTATGCCACCCCTGCTTGTATGTTGGGTTGGATGGTGATTGGGGTGGTGGGAGGGTGTAAGGGGGGGTGGAGAACGGTGGATGTCAGTACCATGGGGATGATTACCAAGTAGAGGAGGAAGGCAGAGGAGTGAGAGAGCTGTGAAAGGGAGAACGCATGGTGAGACGGGGAGAGGGCTGTCGTCACTGGCAGATGCAAGGCCAGCCCATGGGTAGTGGTAACAGAAGTGGGTGCAAGCAACGCATTGTATTCTTTAGGCACCTCAAGAACAGACAGCAGTGAGTGCGAGTACCCGCGTTGCGCCTCGAAAGCACCTCAACTGATAACAACAGCGCCATGGCTGAATGCGTCATGAATCTATGCCACAAACAAGCAACAGCGCCTTCGTTGAAGATATCCACGGATAAGCGGCTTCCCACGCCGCCTCCCTCCCTTTTCCCCACTCACTCACCCGTCACCCAGGGTGATAAGCAAGCCCGCCCACCTTGTTTGAAGCGGTGAGGGGAGTCGTTGCGGAAGGCCACTTGGCTCTCCCACTGCCCGGGGGCGTGCGGGCGGATGTGGCGGAACAGCGACGAGGCGTTCAGCCACGCCGGCTGCTGCACGCTCTGCACCTTCACCATCGCCACCTGGTCGGTCGGTTGGTTGATTGGTTGATATGTTGGTTGGTTGGTGCCCACGCAGGGAGGGTGCAGCAGAGCAGAGGGGACGAGTGGGGAGATGAGTGGGAAATGTGGGGTGATGTGGGGAGATGTGGGGAGATGTGGGAAGATGTGGGGAGATGTGGGGAGATGTGGGGAAATGAGGGGAGATGTGGGGAAATGAGGGGAGATGTGGGGAAATGAGGGGAGATGTGGGGAAATGAGGGGAGATGTGGGAAGATGTGGCGGAAAAGTGACGAGGCGTTACTGGCTGCCGCACGCTCTGCACCTTCACCATCGCCACCTGCCCGCCCAGTTGAATGATCGGTTGGTCAGTTGCTGTACACACAGGGAGAGTGCAGCATAGCATAGCCCCAGCAGGCTGTAGCAGCCCCAGCAGGCTGTAGCAGCCCCAGCAGGCTGTAGCAACAGCTACCCCCTTCCCCCCTGCCCAACCTCCCGATCAACAGCACCTACAACACAATGCCACTTTCCCTCAGCACCCCTGCTGCTGATCCCTTTCCCACCTGCACCAGTCCCCTTCCTGCCTGCCCCTACCTGCCTCCCTGCACAACCCTTTGCGACCTGCACCCCTGCCGTGCACCTTGAACACGGTGAGGCCCTGAGCCTCGTAGCGGTCAGCAGCGGCGGCAATGCGGTGCCATGCCTCGCGAGTGAGGAACTGGTTGCCGTCCCACGGCAGGATCCACCGCGCCCCCGCTGCCCTCCCTACCTGCCTCTCTGCACAACCCCCTGCACCCATGCACACCTTGAACACGGTGAGGCCCTGGGCCTCATAGCGGTCAGCAGCTGCCACGATGCGGTGCCATGCCTCCCGCGTGAGGAACTGGTTGCCATCCCACGGCAGGATCCACCGCGCCCCAGACGCCTGCCCGTGCTCCAGCATCGCGTTGCGCGCCTCGTTCTGCGCTGCGGGGAGGGTGGAGGGGACGGGTTGTGGGACAGGTTGGCGGAGGGGTGAGTGTGATGGGAAAAAGGAGGGAAGGGAACATGGGACTCGGCCTCCCTGCCCTCCCGTGCGCATCGCATTGCGCGCCCTGTTGAGGAGCGCGGTGGGAGGGGGGAGGGGAGGGGTGCGGGGAGAAGGGACGAAGGACGGGGTAGGGAAAGGGCGGGGCAGAGCAGCAGTGGGTGTCTGTGGTGGGCAGAGAAGTGTCAGGTGTGCTTCAGGTGTGCTTTAGAGAAGTTTCAGGTGTGCTTCAGGTGTGCTTCACAAAAGTGCCAGGTGTGCTTCAGGGAAGTGTCAGGTGTGGAAGCTGAGATGGTACCATAACTTCCATCTTTCCATCCAAGACACTCGGAAAAAAACGCCTGCGATGCACAACATCAATGCCAATGACACCACCTGATGCTATTTGTTGCTGACCGAGAGACAAGCAGCACTCACCATGTCGTGCGAACGAGGCGAAGCAAGCTGCGGCTGTGCCCATGCGCTCTGCTCACCTGACACGGCTGCACCCCATTGGTCCTCGGGAAGCTGGGCCACGTGGCTGTAGTTGACTCGCCGCACTATGATGTCCTGATGGGTGGCGCACAGTGTGTGGTGCACGGGACATGGCACGGGATTGATTGGCAAGCAGGGATGACGAGAGGTATGGAGGGGCGTGGAGAAGGGTCAGGCAGTGGCAAGAGGAAGAAAGAGGGAAGGGAGAACAGGTAGGAATGGGAGGGGAGCTAGGGGAGAGGAGAGGTGGGGGAAAAAAATAGAAGGGGGAGAGAAAAGGGGAGGGGGTGGGTGGGAAGGAGGAAGTTGAGGTGAGGACAGGCATGTGTTGAGCAGAGGAGATGCGAGGAGGAGCTGCGTTAACTAGGCGCCATGGCCACTGCCGTGCCATGCAGGACTGTGCTGTGCTGTGCTGACACAGCATGTGCCATCATCCAATGTTGCTGGGTTGAGTGGGTGCAGTGGGTGCAGTGGGTGCAGTGGGTGCAGTGGGTGCAGTGGGTGCAGTGGGCACATGGGTGCACGGATGCACACAGAGGCAACTGCGCATGGGAACGAGAGGCGGAAAGGGGGGTGCTTGAGCAACCAGCAGCAGCAACACCTGGCAGGCAGTGCGCCTGTCTCCATCACTCCCTCCCCGCTTACACCATACGCAACTCCCCTCCACTCCCCCTCATCCCATCCTCCTCTCGTGTTCCTCCTCACTATCCTTTCTCTTCCACATACCGTCCGTCCTTTGGGGCGCCTCAAAACTAGACTCCGTCCTTACCCTTCCCCCATCGTGCTGCTTCCTGCATCGCCCCGCGGCTCGCCTCCACCTTTTTCTCTCCCCTGCTCTCATTCCTCTCTTGCTCTCTCATCGGGATTCCCCTCTGCGCCCTCCCCCTCACCTCGTCCCCGTACCCGCGCGCCTTCAGTGCTGGCTTGAGAAGCCGTTTTAAACGCATGACTTTTGAGTTGACTCAAAAGTCAACTCGCATGCATGGATCATTCATGAGTGCATGGATGCTCTCTCTCATCCTGCTCCCTTCCCCCCCTGTCCCCCTCACCTCGTCCCCGTACCCGTGCGCCTTGAGCGCGCGCACCACCAGGCGCTCCGAAGTTTCGTTCACCACGTTGTTCACCACCCACACGCGCCGGCACCCCGCCAGCCGCCTCGGCTCGTGCTGTAACGCGTACAGCGTGTTCTCGTACAGCTGCCCGTCGCACTGCAGCGGCGGAATGTCGTTCCCGATCATGCGGTAGAGGATGAATCGCGGCGGGGATTGCGGAATGCTGCCCGGTACAGCCACGTCACCGTCCCCGTCACCGTCACTGTCGTCGTTCTGAGGCGCCACGTGGCCGGGTTCTGCGAAACCGCCGTCCCAGTCGTCGCCAAACCACGTGGCGAGCCACAGCAGCAGGAATGCGCCCACGCCGATCACCGCAAGGCGTCTCCCGAACTCACCCCGCTTGGCCCGCCGCGAAGGCCGCGAGGCGGGTGCCGTGGCGGGCGAGCCGAACGCGGAGGAGTGGGCGGCCGGAGAGGATGCGGGGAGCGCCATGACGGGATGGCAGCCTGAGACCAGAGTCGACGGCAGGCGACAGAAACTCAAATGTTTCTCAAACGGTGTCGCCTCGCCTCCTAGAACTGTCGCTTCGCTTTAGAGCTACCTGATTCCTTTTAATTGGAAAATATGCATCCAGAGTGCAGTCGAGCGAGCCTGGGAAAGATGTATAGGTGCGTACAACTGAAAGTTGTCCACATGAAGAGAATAGACCACATCGAAGGTCGAATCAACGATTTAATTAGCCTATTTTATAAACGTATTCCAGTATTCACCAGATCCCCTTCCGATATTGCGCCAAATTTTAATATGTGCGAATTCGCATTGTGCGTATCCTGTGTAATATTCTATACCTTTCATCCTTCAGTAGCTGGGCAGTGTTCCGTTTCTCCGCATGTTGCACGAGTTCCTTCATAACGCAGATTTTGGAAATTTGGCACCCTCTGGCGATTGCGTGCGCGCGCACCCTGTCATACACCCTCGTATGCCCAGTCTCGTCGAGACTTCGAGAGTGTTTCTCCGGGACATACCTGCCCCTCAAATTACCTCCTTTCAATGCACGCCACCTGCTTCCATGGCGTCACCGCCACTCGTTCATGCTTCCCGCTGGACTCCCGCTAAATTCCTTCCTTGCCTTCCCCTTCGCGCCCCTGCAGCTTCCCCGCGCGGACGGCGCATCACAACAGCTGGGGGATCCCTCCGCTTGCCCGTCGCCGCTGCCGCCGTCACCGCTCACCGCCGCTGCAACGCCTTCCCGTCGCCAACAGCAGCCGCGCTGTCCGCCGTGCGACCTCTCGCTTCCCCGGCGACCCCGCGGGCCTTTCGCGTTCGCGCCGCATCCGCGCGCCTCCTGTCGCCCTTCACCCACGCCCCTCCCTCTCTCCGCTTCACCCAGCGCGTGTGCCAACAGCTCTCCAGCCCCCGCCTCTTCCCCCTGCCTTCACCCTCCTTACTCAATTCCTCCCGCCGAACCTCTCGCGTGAGCAGGTCCCGCCGCGACTTGCGGCACGGCCCCGCGCGCGCTCTCCTCGGCCTCCTCGCTCCGTTGCTCGCTGCCGTCGGCGTTTCCTTCGCTGCCGTCTTCGCCGCGCTGCCGGCTGCCCTGACGGCCGTCTTCGCCGCGCTGCCGGCTGCCCTGACGGCCGTTTCCGCCGCTACAACCGCCGTCGCAGCGAACCCGACAGTCTCGTCGGTAGCACTCCCGCTGCTACAGCTTCTGGCGGGCGTGGGGGGCGCAGTAGGAGTGGTCACTCTGGGACTCATTTGGACCGTACTGGACCGTTTGTTCTGCCTCATCCTTCTCCTTAACTTCGCCGCGGGTCTTCTAAGCATTGCGCGGGACTCGTACCGGCTGAGCCACGCGCGCCGCCGCAGCCTGCAGGACCCAACGCTCGTGACAATATGGGCCGCGGAGCGCGACGATCGCGACGCGGACGACGGGATCAATGAGGGCGTGGCAGTGAGTGTGAGGAGGATTTTTCTAGACACAGGCGACCCGCGGTTTGACTGGTTCGTGCCGGGGGTGGTGAGCCTGATCCCTGGAGTGAACGGTGCGGCATGGGTGCTGGCATCATGGCACTCCTCGCCCTTCCTTTCTCGCGGCCTCAAGAGACACCTCGCCCTGAACGCTGCTGTCTACGGGCTGCCTGGCCTTGCCTCCCTCCTGATCTTCGCCCTCGGTGTCCCCTCCCCCACCTCCCTGCTCCTCTCCCCCTTCTCCTCCCTCGCCTCGGCTCTCCTCGCGCCGTTCAGCCAATCAGCGGCTGCCACTGCAGCAGGGTCAGCAGCGGCGGCAGCAGCAGGGGGGGTGTCGGTGGTGGGGTATGGCAGCAGCAGTGCGTGGTGGGTGAGTGTGGTGCTGGGGGCGGTGCAGTTGCAGCTGGAGCGAGTGCGGGCTGTGAGCATGCAGGAGAGCAGGCAGGTGCTCAGAGCGTTTGGGCGTGGGCTCAAGAGAACGAGGGAGAGGCGATTGGGACAGAGGAAATGGATGGAGTGGGGGATAGAGGAGGAGGAGGAGGCGGAGGAGGAGGGGGATGATAGGGAACGGGAGGGGAAGTACGGCGAGAATGGCAGGTCGGGGGGGGTTAGTGCGGCCCTGGGAGGGGCCTCTGGACGTGGGGGAGCAGGGGATGCTCGCAAGGATGGCAATGCTCGAAGGGGTGGCAGCGGCAGCAGCAGCAGCAGCAGCAGGGGAGGTGGGGACATGTGGATGGAGGCGGAGGAGCGCAGGCGCCTGCAGGAGTTTGATGCGAAGCTCATGGGGAGGCCTCTGCAGCAAATGGGTATGCCGTTGCCAAGCAGCCATGCACAGTGCCTTGCACACGATGGTGATAGCAGTGACAGTGGTGACAGTGTTTAGGCATGCTCCCAGTTTGGAATGTGTGCTTCCTGCCATGGGGCAACTTGTGAGGCGCCTCAAAAGAATGTCACGTGGCAGGCCGTGCATGTAAGCAGGGTGCTCCATGTGCGAGTCCTCACCATCGTTTCTCTGCAAATGTACTAGTCGCCCCTCACCTCTGCTGTTCGTTCTCCTCCTGCTGCCTCTTCGCTGCATCACCAGGGCCACCAGCAGCATGGACGACGGATGATGTGGCAACGTGGCTCACAGCAGAGGGCTTTGCCTGCTATGCACAGGCCTTCCTTCGCCATGCTGTCTGTGGCCAGGTGCCTTGCCTTCCTTTTCAGCCCGTGCTGCCCTGCACTTTGCTCCGCCTTGGTCCCTTTTCCTAGAAGCAACCTTCTGGATGCTCTTTCTTGCATTGCACCAACTTCGCTCCCGTGTCTGCCTTCCCCATCCGTCACCTTTTTGGTAACGCCGTCCGTCCTTTCAGCCGTCTCTTATCCGTGTGTGTGTGGTGGATGTGTGCATGTGTGCGTCTGTGCATGGATGCATGTGTGCATTTGTGCATGGATGCATGTGTACATGTGTGCATGGCTGCATATGTGCATGTGTGCATCTGTGCATGTGTGCATGGCTGCATGTGTGCATGGCTGCATGCGTGCATGTGTGCATGCCTGCATGGCTGCATGTGTGCATGTGTGCATGGCTGCATGTGTGCATGTGTGTATTACTGCATGTGTACATGTGTGTATTACTGCATGTGTACATGTGTGCATGTGTACATGTGTGCATTACTGCATGTGTACATGTGTGCATGCGTACATGTGTGCATTACTGCATGTGTACATGTGTGCATGACATGGCTGCATGTGGTGCTGGCAGGTGCTGTTGGAGCTGACAGCAGAGGACCTGAGGGATGATCTGGGGGTGCGCACGCTAGGCGACAGGAAGAGGCTGCTCGCAGCCATTGCACAGCTCAGACTGTGGTTTGGCACACGGCAATCGTGAGCGCATGCACGCGTGCCAGCACAAGCTCACTCGGAGGTACTGGTAGCAGTTATGCTATACTTACCGGTACCTAGGTGATCCGGTTGGTTAGGATGTTAGGGATAATGGTAGTGTTGCTGTAGTTCCTCGAAGCATTTATTGCGCTTTTTCGACTAGCTGTAGTTATTTAGTAATGTACCGTACTCGCCTGTACAAAGCACCATTACGGTGTATGTGTTTCACAGCATTTGCCAGGAAACTCGAAAGGAGGAGGAGGGGGGGGAGGGGGGACAAGATTGGTAGGCTGGAAACAGGACAGACATCCAATGCTGAAGGATGCACTGTAAAAGAACTGGCCAAAGTAAAATGATGATTCTGACGCTGAGAAATCAACCTACTGTAATTTATCTAGGTATAAGGACCCCAGAGCATTACCCATTCACCGGATGTACCTAAATGCATGATACCCACCACCACCCAGTCCATTGCTACGTATTACCGTTATTTTGTTTCGTTAGCTAAGTCCAGAACCAGTGTTACATAAAAAGGGGAAGCGGTGTATGTTGCATTTTGTGGTCTTCTTTGCAGGGCAGCGCGCAAGTGTCAGATAGACGTCATCTCAGGCGTCTTTAGGTCTGGAAATTTCCCAATTCGGGATTATTAGGTCGAACTTGTTGCGCCATGGATCATCAAGCTGCTAGCATCGTATAGCAGGTATCCCGGTAGCCACGCCCAGATCCACTCTCGCAGTCGCACACGCGTTTACACGGGCCCCGCGCTGCGAAGCTCTCATCCTGCATCCCGCCAGGCTCCACGCGCCGCCGTTCGTGTCACGTTCGCGTCATCAAGTCATCATGATGACTGCGGCCAGTCTCCCCGCGTATCCCTGTCCATCCCTCCCGCGACTCCTCTCCCTTCTCCCCACCCTCGTCGTCCTCCTCCTCGCGCTCCCCCTCCCCGCGGCGCGCGGCGAGATCTCCGACGCGCTGCTGGAGGCGGACAAGCGCGCGATCGTGCTGTTCGACACGTTCGGGTTCGAATCTAACGGTCACGTCGACATGAACGTGTCGTCCGTCGAGGTGCTCGTGCCGGAGAACGCGGCGGCGGCCGACAAGACGCTGATGGGATTCTTTCTGACGACGGCGGAGGACGAGCTAGAGCTGCAGAACGACTTCCAGGCGGGCCACTGCGTGCTCGCCAACGCGCACGTGCACCGCCTCTTCACGCTGCAGGTGCGCGCCTTGCTCCGCGCGCCGTGCAGGTGCGTGCGCTGCGCCTCCCCGTGTAGGTGCCTCGCATCCGACAGGGATTTGCCATGCGACGGGAATCTGCCATGCTACAGAATATTGCCATGCGACATGCCATGCGACGGGATATTTCCATGCGACAGGGAATTGCCATGCGACATGCCATGCGACAGGGATTTGCCATGGGAGTGATCGAACCAACCACGTCGTTCTCCCATCCGCCCGTCGTTTCTTGACGGGTGATGATACCTTTATGGGATCCGTGGTGCTTCCCCTCACCATGGAATGGGTGGTGTTATAGATTCAGCACACTATGCATGTGAGATTCCGCTACCGCCTCGCCTCCGTGTTTCCTTGCTCATTCCATGCTCTTTTCATTACTATACTTTCCTTTCGTCCTTCGTTCCCCCCCTTCCCTTCACCTCGTTTCCATCGTCTAAGGCACCCTCACACTCATCTCCCCTTCCTCCTCCCACTCCCCCTCGCTCCACCCCTCCCCACACATCACAGGACGTGGTGTCACAGCAGCAGGGCCCAGACAAGCCGTTCACCTTGCGCTACACAGTCCCCGACGCCAAGGAGTACTCTCTCTTCTTTGCCAACTGCCAGCCGCACGCGCGCGTCTCGCTCAACTGCTCCTTCGCCCTCTACAACGTGGCTCCCAGCGGCCGCATCGACTACCTCCCGGGCGGCAAAACCCAGCTGCCCATGCTCTACAGCGCCTTCTACCTCGCGTACATGGTGGCCGGCATCGTTTGGATCTATCTGTGCCACAAGCACTGGGCGAGGACGCACCGGATTCACATTCTGATGGGCGTGCTGGTGCTGCTGAAAGCATTCACTATGCTGTCACAGGCGGGGGAGTATGCATATATCCGCGCCACAGGGGACCCGCAGGGGTGGAACATTGCGTTCTATGTGTTCAGTTTCTTCCGCGGAATCATGCTGTTCACGGTGATTGTGCTGATTGGCACGGGGTGGTCCGTGCTGAAGCCGTACCTGCAGGACAAGGAGAAGAAGGTCATCCTCATTGTCATTCCGCTGCAGGTGAGGGAGCTCTTGGGGGGGGTGAGGAACCTTAGGGGATGGTGTGGGAACGAGAGGAAGAAAAGGTCCTGTTCTGGTCCTTGCGAGTGTTTGAATCTGAACCCATTGCTACCGTTTCTTGTCAAGAGGGTCCCTTGGCTTTTTGTTTTTGTTGTGTCGATGAATTCACTCTGCACCGATGGGTGCTAACCTGCTCACGCTGCCCCCGTTTTTTATTTCCACTCTGACCTACCCATTGGCCCCCCTTTTCCTGCACTGTTCCCGCTAAGGTCTTTGCCAACATCGCAACAATCATCCTGGACGAGAGCGGGCCGTCGTCGCAGTCATGGTTCACATGGCGCGACATCTTTCATCTGCTCGACATCCTCTGCTGCTGCGCCGTCTTCTTCCCCATCATCTGGTCCATCAAGCACCTCCGAGAGGCTGCGCATTCCGACGGCAAGGCAGCGCGCATCGTGGCCAAGCTACAGCTTTTCCGGCACTTCTACGTGCTCGTGGTGTGTTACATATACTTCACGCGCATCGTGGTGTACGTTCTGCGCTCCACCATGCCGTATCAGTACGCGTGGACGGCGGATTTGGCTGGGGAAGTGGTGACGCTGGTGTTTTATTGCGTTACGGGTTACCAGTTCCGGCCAATGGCAGAGAACCCGTTTCTCGCCATGCATGATGAAGACACGGGAGGGTCGGAGGGGATAGAGATGGATAAGGCCGCAAGCAAGCCGCTCAAGGCAGGTGACGACGAGGACGATGAGTTTGACCTGTGAGCCGTGAACATCTTCCTTTATGAAAACATGCACTGTGGCATTGCTGCTTGGTCAGGTGGTTGGTTGCGCTGTGTAGTCTCCGTTCTTTGGAATCTACATGCTAATCATTTCCTAAAATGTGACCAACTTGAAAAGGATTTGTAGTCCACAGTGTAAAGGAACAAGAACAAGGTGGGCCAGAGAGTACACTAGCAACATCTCCACTGCACACCTTTTCTGGTCACCGACCATTCGCAGGCGAGATAGCGAATTGGTCAGCAGCCCATAACTTGGACTAGCCTCGGACCAAGTCGAGCCAACACCCCATACCAGCCAGTTTGGGGTCGTATTTCAGAACCTCCAATTCGGCTCTTCAACTTGTGATTGTTTTGTTTTGACCCCCCCTGAATTTCAATTCGACTTACGGTAGTGTCTTCCGAAGTTCCACGTTGAGACACCCTAGTTCAATGAGAGAGACCAGTCCCAAATAGGCCGTGTGAGTGAGCACTCATGCCACCCTAGTCCACATTGAAACTGGCTCGTGTTTAGAGTTTCATTTCACAACCTTTCCGAACCTCGAATTGCCTGACTTCCTAACCTGAAAACCATAGCGTTGACTTTGGTGAGAAATCCAGGCTGTCTGCTGCAGGCCGTCCTCACTCCCTTAGTGCGAGCCGCCGAAAGGGGAGCAGGACAAGGCACGTGAGAGGCAGAAAGTCTTCCTTTTTTCCGCATTTACACGGTGTGGGCTGGAGTATTTCAATGCGAATAGCCGGATTCTTCTTGTTGTGCCTCACAGATCCGCCACTCTGATTATGCACCTGCTTATAAATTGACCAGAGTGTGGTTTCCACAAACGCATCATTATCAACGACCTCTCGCGGACTTATGCGTGAGTCCCGGGGTTGAGTGTGAAGCCCTGCGAGACCAATCGCGACTTACATCCATCTCACGCGGCGTTAATGCTGCTCCGCGGAACAAGCAAGTGGGCGTCGTCATGGGGTCATCTGCACCCCCTCTACGTGCTCTTCTTCCTCCTTAACGCCTGCACGCTCTTCGGTCTCGTGTGGTTCAACACCAGCTTTACCACCACCCCAACCACTACCAGCAGCAGCAGCCGCAGCAGCAGCAGCAGCAGCAGCAGCAGCCGCAGCAGCAACAGCAGCAGCAGTCCGACAACCTGGTCCGTAGCAATTGGCCGCGGGAGGGGCGAAGGGAAGCGGGATGCGGGAGGTGTGGCGGAAGGGGTGGATGGGGGTAAAAGGGGGACGGAGAAGGGGAGCACGGGGAGGAGCGGGACGGAGCAGGGGGGCGGGTGGGACGTGGGCGCAGAGGAGAAGTTTCTGTGGTACGCGGCGCACAGTGGATTCAGCAACCAGGTGAGGGGGACGATGCCTCTATGCGCGCGGGTGGAGTCAAGCAGGCGGAGTGAGAGTAGGCGGAATGAGAGTAGGCGGAATAAGAATAGGTGACGCGGCAATAGTGAGGCCTTTATACGCGTGAGGACTTGAATGCTGCTCCCAATGCTGCTCCCAATGCTGCTCCCAATGCTGCTTCCAATGCTGCTCCCAGTGCTGCCCCCACTGCTCCCCCCAATGCTGCCCCCAATGTTCCCCCCAATGCTGCCCCCAATGTTCCCCCCAATGCTGCCCCCAATGTTCCCCCAATGCTGCCCCCAATGTTCCCCCCAATGCTGCCCCCAATGCTGCCCCCAATGCTGCCCCCAATGCTGCCCCCAATGCTGCCCCCAATGCTGCCCCCAATGCTGCCCCCAATGCTGCCTCCAATGTTCCCCCCAATGCTGCCCCCAATGCTGCCCCCAATGTTCCCCCCAATGCTGCCCCCAATGCTGCCCCCAATGCTGCCTCCAATGTTCCCCCCAATGCTGCCCCCAATGCTGCCCCCAATGTTCCCCCCAATGCTGCCCCCAATGCTGCCCCCAATGCTGCCCCCAATGCTGCCCCCAATGCTGCCCCCAATGCTGCCCCCAATGCTGCCCCCAATGCTGCCCCCAATGCTGCCCCCAATGCTGCCCCCAATGCTGCCCCCAATGCTGCCTCCAATGTTCCCCCCAATGCTGCCCCCAATGCTGCCCCCAATGTTCCCCCCAATGCTGCCCCCAATGCTGCCCCCAATGTTCCCCCCAATGCTGCCCCCAATGCTGCCCCCAATGCTGCCCCCAATGCTGCCCCCAATGCTGCCCCCAATGCTGCCCCCAATGCTGCCCCCAATGCTGCCCCCAATGCTGCCCCCAATGCTGCCCCCAATGCTGCCCCCAATGCTGCCCCCAATGCTGCCCCCAATGCTGCCCCCACTGCTGCCCCCAATGCTGCCCCCACTGCTGCCCCCACTGCTCCCCCCATGCCCATCGTCCCCACACGACATGCGAGCACCAGGTGATGACACTCACGCGGGGGCTGCACATGGCGGCGCTGCTGAACCGCACGCTGCTCATCCCGCCCAAGCTCGCCCACTTCAACCGAGTCATGCGCCAAAGCGTCGTCCAAGCCGGCTTCCGCAACCGCGCCTGGGCCGAGTACTCCCTCCTCCTGCGCTCCCCCGTACGCCCCACGCACCTCCCCTCCCACCCTTCTCCCCTTCTCCCCCTTTCTCCCCCCTTTCCCCCCTTTCCTTCCCCTGCCCTCCTGTCCCTCCGCTTCACCCACAACGGTCCTTGCTATCCTGCCCCACCGCACCGTTCCGTGTGGTCCCATGCTGGTCTCATCCGTTCTGCTTGCCTTCACGCTCGTTGCTTGTTGCCCTTTGTTTTCCCGTGGGACGTGATCACGATGCTTACCCACGCTGGGAGAGAAATGTAGGGTTCAGCATTGCCTGTGCCTGTGCCTGTGCCTGTGCCTATGCCGTACATCTTTGCCACCTCGCCCCCCCATTAACACTCATGCGCAACGCGTTGGAAAAAGGGGGTGTGCCCTGTGCCCTGTGCACTGCGGCTTACGCCCTGTGCTAACCACACCCGCCGCCCCCCTCCGCACCACCCCACAGGAGTACCTATCAATGGGCAACGTGTTGGACATGGGAGCCTTACCGCCCTCGCTCATGCGCACCATGGACCTGCAATGGCTTTTTAGTCGACTCAAACGCCGGCCTCCTCCTTGCCTCCCCCCCAGGAGTACCTATCAATGGGCGACGTGTTGGACGTGGGCGCCATATCACCTGCGCTCGTGCGCACCATGGACCTGCGATGGCTTTTGTGTCGACTCAAAAGCTGGCCCCTCCGCGCCCCCTTCGCCTCCCTCCCCCCCCCACAGGAGTACCTATCGATGGGCGACGTGTTGGACGTGGGCGCCATATCACCTGCGCTCGTGCGCACCATGGACCTGCGCCACTTCGTTGCCCGCCACTGCCGCTGCAACGTGTCCGTGGCGTGCCCGGGGGATGCGTGCGACATGCTCTTCCAAGGCATCGCCTTCTCAAACCAGGTGTGTGTGTGCGTGTGTGTGTGTGTGTGTGTGTGTGTGTGTGTGTGCGCGCGCGCGCGTGCGTGCGTGCGTGTGTGTGTGTGTGTGTGCGCGCGCGTGTGTGCGTGTGTGTGTGTTTGTGTGCATGTGTGTGTGTGCGTGTGTGTGTGCGTGCGTGTGTGTGTGCGTGCATGTGTGTGTGTGCGTGTGTGTTTGTGTGTGTGTGTGTGTGCGCACATGCGATTTGTGTGTGCGCATACGTGCAGTGTGTACGAGTGTGCATGTCGTGAGTTGCCCAAGAGTCACCCTTGCAAGTTCATGGCGTCTCTTCCATGTGTGTCCATGCATGCCCCAGTCCCTCACGCAGTGCTTGCAAGCATGCGGGGCGAGGATAGGCGCATCCACCCCCACCCCCGCTCGGCTCTGGGGCACACTCACGGGTCTCCTCCAAGGGCAAGTGCTGTTGCCTTCTGACCCGGCACTGTCAGTCGCCGAGTGGGAGCGCAAGGGCGTGCTGTACGCGGTGCCGCACATGTGCAATGAAACCATCTGGACCGTTGGGAATTACTCCAGGTGAGGGCCCTCCTCCCTTTCCGTGCTTTCACTCGCTGTGTGCCCACTACCTGTGCTGCTGCTGCCATGCCACTGTATTCTCTTTCCTCCTCTTCCACATCCTCCTCCTCCCTCCCACAACCCTCTATCCCGCTCCTCCCGTGTTGTCTCATTCACGAGCTTGTCTGCCTCCTCCTCTGTCTCTGCACTGCATCCAGCCCTCCCGTCACTCACCATCACTCTCCTCACACACTCAATGCGGACCCACAGTACCAATAAGCACAGTAACATGCTCCTCCAATCCCATCCCCAACCGGTGCCCCCTCCACCGCCCACCATGCCCGTGCATGCAGCAAGGAAGAGCTGCTTCAAAAGCTGGGCGGCGGCAATGAGGTGACTTTTGAGTCGACTCAAAAATCCCCAACCGGTGCCCCTTCCACCGCCCACCATGCCCGTGCATGCAGCAAGGACGAGCTGCTTCAAACGCTGGGAGGCGGCCATGTGCGTTACGACCATGTCGTCTGCCGGAACTTTCGCCGGGATCCCCACCGCTTCCCGCTGCCACTCTCCGTGCACTTCCTGCAGCAGCCGCCTCTCTCTGCTGCCCAGGTGAAGCGAATCGTCACATGGATGGAAAATCTCTCTCGCGGACTCAAACGGTCCTTGGCATTGAATAATAGTGGTACAGCAAGGGCAAAGGTGAACGACACAGAGGTAATTCCTTTACCGCCAGTGCCTGTATGCCCGCGTTTACCTCCGCCCTTGTCGCTTGCCTGCCCCCACATCCCCCCTCCCTTCCCCTCCCCAAACCGCCCATGGCAGGTGATGGCATTCGGGTCTATGTTTGACGTCATGATCACAGACCTGAACCTTCAACGCTGGTATGCCCGCGTTTACCTCCGCCCTTGTCGCTTGCCTGCCCGCACATCCCCCCTCCTGTTCCCCCCCCGAACCGGCCCACGGCAGGTGATGGCATTCGGGTCTATGTTTGACGTCATGATCACAGACCTGAACCTCCACCCCACTGACCGCATCCAACACATACAACAGGCATGTACCCCGCACTCGCTTTCCTGCTCTGCCCGTTCCTGTGCTCTGCACTCTGCTGCCTTGTGCGGAACATGCAACGCAGTGCTGTCATCAGCACTCCCTGCTTGCCCCTTGCCGTATCCACGCCCAACCGCTCTCCTCCCTCCATGTCCACTCACCCTCTACCATGTACAGCCCTTTATTCCACTCATTAACCATAAACACCTGCAGAGCCCGAATTCTCGTTCCCACCAGCACCAACACGAGCACCAGCACATCCACTTTTCGTCCCCTCGCTCTCCTCCTCCGCATGCGCGCAGGCATCATTTCCGTTCTTCTCACGGCCCATAGTGCAGCTGGCACGGGACTTCATCCGACAGCATATACCCCACCCATACGCATGCATGCACCTGCGCGGCACCGAGGGCTCTTTCGTGAAGAAGCGGAATGTCACACTCAGGTACAGTGCTAGAGGGCTTGCTAGGGTCTGGAGGAAGGGAAGCAGCAAAGTCTGCAATTTCTGGTGTGCCCTTTCTTGCTGTTGATTGGCATCAATCATGGTGTGGTCCCAGCAAGAATGAAATCCTCTACTGTCCTCAGTGTCCCCCTCGGCCAAAATTGTCTCTAGGCATCCCTTGTCGGGTAGCAGATAAACAATCTCTCTCCCTCTCTCTTTCATGCACGTCTCCCACAGCAACGCCGAGCAATCCCTTCGGGAGATTCTGCAGCGGAGGGACAAGCAAGCGGCTGCTGGAGCGGCCCGTTCCGCAAACCTGCACCTCTTCCTAATGACTGACCTTCACAAGGAAGCATGGTCGGATCTGCTGCTGCCGCGCTTGGCACACCTGCCAGTGCCAGTGCAGGTGCACACACTCGCGCCGTACAAGCAGCGCCTTCTGGCCCTCTCCATGCTTCTGCGCGGCTATGGCATGGGTGTACGGGCGAATCGATTCTTCCAAAAGGTGCGGCTTTGGCATGGGTTCTACGGAGGTCAAACCACAGGTGCAACTGCTGTGTTGCTGCCATCTCGCTCTCTCCTCCTTGTTCCTCCCCCTTCCCACCCTTCTTCCTCCCTACACAAACGACCTACACACACACGGGAGCACCCCTGGTGCTGTGCACTGGCTTACCAACCATCTAATGTCTTCCCCTTTGTCCACCAGTGCTTTTTCTCTCACGTGAAAGAACTGACAGGTCTGGTAGTATGTTGACGCACTTGCAGGAGGACTCCTTTCGGCGTGTGCAAGAATCAAGCTTGGACGACCAAGGCGACGACGATGAGGTGGCATTGACACGGCTAAAGCGCACGGGAGGAGGAAAGTTGCCACAGCTGATTCCCGATATAGGCCTGTTTGTAGAGGAGATTGTATGCTGCCATGCGTCCCTTGGAACCATCTTGACCGAAGGCTCCACTGTTAGTATGACAATCCGAATGCATCAGGAGGCTGGGCACTGCAGTTTGAATGCCGCTTCCCTTCAGTAGAGTGTTGTTTAGGTATGTACAGGCTCCTGTAGGTTGAATCTGTTCTATCTGTTCTTCATCTTTTGAGTTTGGTACGTTTTTTTGTCATCAGTCATCTCATCGGCCTTCTCATGTACCGGTACATAAGAGTTTATGGTTTGAGGTTATTGGGAAGATTATTGTGGGGTATTCACATCATCGTGTTAAAAATCTTGTGGATGTTTAGGTTGGGTTATACTGCGTTTGTGTGGACATGTTCGGCCTTCTGTCTGTACCCATGGGTTATAATGCGTATCAGGGCCCAAAATTGGTTTTGGGTCACCCTTTCGTATCAGGGTGTCAGGCCTGTTGTACCCTGACCTCTAGTGTAATAATTTCCGTACACTGATGGCAGCAGCCTAATAAAAACCGTACACTGAATCAATCAGTGTAACTTTCCTAGTACACTGATTTCACCTGTTTTCCCATAGACAGGATTAAACATCAAGTTAAGGACCGTAACGTTAAACAACCAGCACAAACATCACCAACTACTCTGTGCTAGGCACACTTCCATCATCTACAAACTGGGTGTCGCTAGGGGTGCTCATGTCTACGTCCTTGGTGGACCGCCGAAGCTTCTCCCCTCGGAATATGGCGACCACCTCGTACCAATCTGTGTCGTACTGGAGCAAGGAACAGCGCATCAGGTGCTCCAGGCTGTTGTCAACTATGCTGCCACGGCCCCATGTCTTGATGAGGTTCTGTTTGCTAAAACCTCTCTCACACTCCACCGTGCTCAACGGCAGCACGGCTACCGACTGCCAGATGGACATGATGTTGGGGAAAGAGTTCTGCCAGGCATCGTCTCGTAACATGTTCCCCAGCGCCTGGTGGAAGTCCTCGTTGTTGTGCTGGGAGAACATTGTGGATGTGAACATCCACAGTTCTTGCCCCGCCCGCTGATAGTTGAAGCCTGTTATGATGGGGGAAGGGGTGATAGTTGGGCTAAGCACGCAGACTCGGGAGGGAAGGGGGGGGCATTAGTCCAACAATATACATTCGGCTGCCCAATCTCTGTTGATTGCAAGAGGCACAGAAAGATAGACAGTAGGAACACAAAGCTGCACGATGAACGTCGGTAAACATAGAAACTCACCAGGCAGTTTGCTGCCGTACAGCTTGTGAAGCTGGCCCAGCCACTTCATGAATGCCTCCACTCGCTTAGCATCATCAAGAAGGTACGATGCTGTGCGAAACAGCTTCGTGTTAGAATACTAGGAAGGAATGTGTGATAAGGTCAAGGGGGGGGTACAAGAAGAATGTCGAGAGAAATGTTGTACCCCCTAGTGCTAACCCCCATACAGCCTAGATAACCTAAACATGCATATATGATTTGACACACCCCCATAGGCGAAATGGGGGATAGTCAGAACAAGCAAAGGTCACAAGACCAGTCAAGAGAAGAAAAAAAACACAGCTCAGGGTGGATCACAAAGTCACCACACACTCTGAGCACAAGCAAGAGGCCACAAGGCCAGTTCACATGCAGAGATGTATATGCAGCAATAGCTCAGTGATCTCTACCTAACAAGAGCAAGCATGCAGGTATATATGTATAGATCACAGTACAAGCAGAATCTACAGCAAGTGTGGAAACGTAGGCACAAGGCCCAACAAAGTACAAAAGCGCTGATGATCACCAGACGGAAGTGCCTTGGTGAATATATCAGCAGTGTTGGCCCGAGTGGCCACGTGAGCAAGACGAAGCTGACCCCGCTGCTGCAACTCTCGAGCCAAAAAGTAACGCAGAGCGATGTGCTTCGTTCTGTGCTCCAGTCTGTGCTCCTGACACAAGGCAATGGCTGCCTTGTTGTCGACGTACAGCACTGGAGGAGAACGAGACCGCTTTCCCAGGTCGCTCAGCAGGTAGGTGAGCCAGCGTAACTCCTGTGCAGCCATGGCTGTGGCGTAGATCTCAGCCTCACAACTGGAGCTGAGAACTGAAGACGAGCGTGTAGAACGCCAAGAAACTGAACCAGAGCCAAGGCTGAAGGTGTAACCCTGTGACGACCGCTGTGTAGCCTGGTCGTCAACCCAAGAAGCGTCCGAGTGACCAGTGAGGACAACGTCGCCCCGTCCTCCAAGCACGAGCCCCATGCCCGATGTACTGCACAAGTAGCGCAGTACCCTCTTAGCAGCATCCATGTGCACCTTTCGGTGCCGTCCAGGAGCCACGTAGCGAGCCAGAAGGCCAAGAGGGTACGCGAGGTCAGGACGAGTGTAGGTCATCAGGTACATGAGGCAGCCAACTAGCTCTGGGTAAGGACCACTCGGCTCTACGGACTCGTCCGAAGGTGGAGCTGAGAGCGAGTGACCTGTAGCAAGAGGAGTGGCCTATGCCGAGGACCAGGTGAAGCCGAAGTGCTGAAGGACCTGCTGCACCATGTGTGACTGAGTCAGTGTGATGGTGCGGCGTGCTCTGTCCCGGGTGATATGCAAGCCAAGGTAACTGCGCAGCTCACCCAGGTCTGTACACGTGTGTCTCTTCTGCAGCTCCGACTTCACCAGGGCGAGAGCCTCAGTGTCAGCAGTGGCAAAGACCAAGTCGTCGACGTACACGAGGTTGTAGAACGGCGGCAGCGAAGTGTCGGTGCGCAGAAACAGGGACGGGTCAGCAGTCGACGGAGTAAACACAAGAGCAGCAAGTGTCGTCCTCAGTGTGTCGTGCCACTCACGTGGCGCCTGGCGGAGACCGTAGACCGGCCGCCGGAGGCTCCACTGGGTACCAGGAGGGAACGACCCAGTGAAGCCAGATGGGCGGCGCAGCCAGATCTCCTCGTGCAGGCTGCCCTGTAAGAAGGCTGTGTTGAAGTCAAGAGAGTGAAGCTCGTAGTCACGCTGAGCGGCAACGTGCAGCAGCACCCGAAGAGTGGTCATCTTCGGGGTGGGGGAGAAGGTCTGGAAGAAGTCGACTCCCTCCCGCTGACTGAAGCCTCGAGCAACGTAACGAGCCTTGAAGACAGGCGGAGAACCTGGCGGCCGCTTCACCCTGAAAATCCACATGCCACTGACGATGTTCGCCCCAGGAGGGGGAACCTCGTCGACGTATGTGCCTGTGGACTTCCAGGATGCCATCTCTGCGTCCATGGCTGTCTGCCACTGAGAGGAGTACTCACCCGCGATCGCCTCAGCGTAAGAGCGCGGGGTCGGGATGTCTGGAGCATCCGGGTCTCCCTCAGGGCAAGCAGCATGGACACGAGATGAGGCGCAGCGGCTGCAAGACACTCAAGGTCCTCCTGCCTGTCCTCAAGGACGTCCGTGCTAAGGGCACACTCACCCCCGACGGACGGAGGACAGACAGACTCAGACTCAGAAACAAGACTAGCGGCGTAGTCTAGACGACAGGCAGCAGCAATGTCAACAAGCTCAGCGACTAAGGCAGACGGAGCAGCAGACTCAAACGACGGGTCAGTGACAACAGTGGCTAGCAGACGCGTGACAGTAGGGTGCTCAGCACGAAACCGGTCAGACTCAGGCTCAGGAACGGTAGGCAGAGAAGACGCAGGAGGGGACGGCAGGGGAACACGCTGCGGAGGAGAGGAAGGACGACGGACTACGAGGTGGGTGCCGAAGACAGCCGGCTGACGCGAACGAGGAACACGACGACCGGAACGACCAGAACCGACAGGCGAGACAGGACGCGACGTAGGCTCACAACGCTCAGTAAGACCCCCTGTCTGCTCAGTGTAAGGAGAAGGAGCAGGCAGCGGTGAGCCAGGCTGTAACGGAAGACCAGTAGACGAAGGGAGACTAAGAACCTGGCGAAGCACAGAGTCAGACGGTGGCTGAGACGGCGGAGACGGTGGAGCAAAGAACAGGCGCGGCTGTACAGTGCCACCAGCACCAGCAGCTCCAGCACCTCCAGCAGCTCCAGAACCCTCAGCGCCAGCTCCTCCAGGACCAGCTCCACCAGCAGCAGCACCCCCAGAACCGGCACCTCCAGTCCCAGGGTCTCCAGCCTCAGTGTCTCCAGCAGCAGCACCCTCAGGCTCAGCACCTCCAGCCCCAGCAGCTCCAGTACCTCCAGTACGAGCACCTCCGGGACCAGCACCACTCCCAGCTCCAGTGACGTCAGCAGAAGTACCTCTAGCGGCAGAGCCCCGAGCTCCAGAGACGAACAGCGCGGATCCAGGGGATCAAAACATCAGGGACATCCCCCTTGCGCTGCAAGGGGAAGACCGTGGTGTAACGCGTGTAGTCGTCGACGACCAGCAGGAAGTACCGCTCGTGGCCCTGTCCACGGACGCGGGCTGGGCCCCACACGTCCAGGTGGAGAGTCTGCAGGGGAGCCTCTGTGGGAGGGAACGAGGAGGAGTGAGGAGCGGCGCGCTGCCGCCCCTCGACACAGGGAAGACAGGGAGGAGCAGGCGAGGGTGGTAGAGGAGGCAGAGTCTCTGGAAGTCCAGAGACAAGGAAACGGCGGTGCATGCTACGAAGGCGCTGCACCGAGGGGTGACCAAGGCGGTGGTGCCAAAGGAGGGTCTGGTGCGACAAAGCTCGACACGAGCAGGGGGCCGCTAGCTGACCTGACGCAGACGCAGACGCAGCGACCTGAGGGGACACAGTAGTCAGTGTGTACAGACTCGAGCCAGGCGCACGAGTAAACATGGCCAGGTGCGGGCCCGTCCGGAAGCACGTACAGTGGGTCACTCGCTGACCTCTTGGAGTGAACTGGTCAACCCACTGGTCCTGGAGGTCAGCACCACCCACCAAGTTCGTTGAGAACGAGGGGAGGTGAAGACCTGACAGGAAGCCAGACGGGACCGCCGGACACGGCAGGACCGTGGAGGAGTGCGCAAGGACTGGACCCGCAGAGGGGTCTACCAGGGAGACTGCAACCGGCCGACGGAGCGGCGTGAGGGTGGTGCTGTTGCGAAAGAAGGAGCGGGAAGCACCTGAGTCAAGTGTGAAGGTGTACAAGGCCTCAGCAGGCGCAGTACCAGAGAGAGCAGACTCACCAGCACCTGGAGTAGCAGCCTCACCAGCACCTAGGGCAGCAGCCTCACCAGCACCTAGAGCAGCAGGCTCTATACCTGGGTCAGGCGGTACGCACAGGTAACAGGCACCGTCAGCACTAGTAGGCAATGCATACATGGCAGTGAGAATAGCATCATAGTCAAGAGCAAAGATATCTACCCTCTGCCTAAGCAGCTCCAGCCAGGTGGGGAGCTCAGCCTCGTCGCCAAACTCGGTACGCCAGGCGTCGCTCAGACGGGCGAAGCAGCGGGACTGTGTGTGACCAAGCGTCCCGCAAGCCTGACCAGCCCGATCACCTGTGCGAATGACGTACGGGCAGCGAATGGTACTCAAAGACCCTCTACTCTGAGCGTACAACTCGTGAAGCTGCTGGGACGTAAGTGTCTCACGTGGACGCCGCTGCAGCTGCAGCTGGCCACTGCCAGACGCTCCCAACTGACCAGCTCCAGGGCGTCAGCTACGACGGCTACCGCCACAACCCCAACTAGCGTACCACTCACGAAGCTGCTGGGGCGGGAGAGACTCGCGTGGACGTCGCTGGAGCTGCATCTGGCCACCGCCAGTAGCAGCAGTAGTAGTAGCAGTAGCCTAGCAGTAGTAACAGAAGTAGCAGCAGTAGCAGCGCGGGCAGGGCAGGCGCGGCAGGCAGGCAGGCAGGCAGGCAGGCAGACAGGCAGGCAGGCTGGCAGGCAGGCATGCAGGCAGATGGCGCGGCAGCGCGCTAACAAGGCAGGTGCTCACCAGTGGCGGGAAGAGCAGGCGCTCGCCGGGCGAGCAGGGCCGGCGCTCGGCGGGCGGCTGCACGGGGTCCAGGGGCGGCTGCACGGAGTCCAGGGGCGGCTGCACCAGGGGCGGCTGCTTCAGGGGCCGGGGGCGGCTGCTCTGGGTCCAGGGGCGGCTGCTCGAGGGTCCAGGGGCGGCTGCACCAGGGGCGGCTGCTGCAGGGGCCAGGGGCGGCTGCACCAGGGGCGGCTGCTTCAGGGGCCAGGGGCGGCTGCTCTGGGTCCAGGGGCGGCCGCTCCAGGGGCGGCGTAGCTAGTGCAGGGCCTGGCGCGGGCTGTACGAGCTGCGTGCGGGCCTGGCGCGGGCTGTACGAGCTGCGTGCGGGCCTGGCGCGGGCTGTACGGGCTGCGTGCGGGCCTGACGTGGGCTGTACGGGCTGCGCGACGGCCTGGCGCGAGCTGTACGGGCTTCGCGACGGGCCTACACGGGCTGTACGGGCTTCGCGACGGACCTACGCGGGCTGTACTGGCTGCGCGCGGGCCTGGCGTGGGCTGTACGGGCTGCGCGACGGCTTGGCGCGGGCTGTACGGGCTGTGCTCGGGCCTACGCGGATTGTACGGGCTGCGCACGGCAGAAAATGGCAGGGCAGCGCGAAACGCTGGGCAGGGCAGAAACTAACGGTCGGGCAGGTGAAAACGAATGTGGTGGGCCCTTAATTACGGTCCTAGGCTAGGACCGTCCTAGCTCTGATACCATGTTAGAATACTAGGAAGGAATGTGTGATAAGGTCAAGGGGGGGGTACAAGAAGAATGTCGAGAGAAATGTTGTACCCCCTAGTGCTAACCCCCATACAGCCTAGATAACCTAAACATGCATATATGATTTGACACTTCGAACCTTCGAGCAGGTGCAGGTCGCGCATGCGCCACTCGAGCTCGGCGTCCACAGCCTTTACAAACGCCAGAGACAACTCGACGCACGCTGTCACGTCTCCACCCGTCTCGTGGTCAGGGAGGGGCCGCTCGTGCATGGTGTAGACAAAGGAGATGGGCGTGCCGTCAGCGTCAACTCCTTCCGCCTTCATCTCCCTCTTCTCCTTCGACTGGTGCTTCTTGATAAACTCCGGCAGTTGCATTTTCTCCCCGGCTCCGAAATGGCCTGCAGCGTCCCTCAAGGAGTAGCAGGTTTTCAGGCGCAGCCTTGTTTGCTGCACGATGTGCGCCACAAGGGTGACGTCGATCTGCAAGGGGCAAGACCAACAGTTAGTGTGGTAACATAAAACAAACAGATTGCACGCTGCAAGGTAAATAAATGAACGCGACTGCCTTACCTGGCGTTGTTGAAACCGCTGGTTGAGGTGGTTGAGTTCCCACAAGACGTCTGCTAGGAACCGAATCAGCCACTGGAACTTAAACGAGGTGACCACCTCGTACAGCTCCGCCTTGTACTCCTTCAGCACCACAACTGTTGCAGGGAGTACTTCGAGCAGCCGGTTCACCGCCTCACCCCGCGACAGCCAGCGAACGTCGTGAATCCCCTGCGCCTCCAAGTTCGTCTGACAGAAAATGTGCTGGAGGTTCTGAAACTTCTGGTAATGCACGCTGCTGCGTCCAATGTGCTCGGCGAAGGCACGCACCACGTCATCAACCATGCGTAACTCCGGGACTGAATCCGCGGCAACACGGGCAGCGAGCGCCTCCCTGCATGGAAGTTCAGAGTGGGGGATTGAAGTTAGTACACAATCCTGGCAGATAGATCAAGGATTCTAAAATGCCCGAACAAGGCTCACCTATGCGCGATGCAGTGGATTGAGGCGAGGTGAGGAATCCTCATTCGCAGCCTCGCCACGACACCGCTGTTTTTCCCCGTCATCACGCTTGCGCCGTCGGTTGAAATGCCTGATATCTTCTGGAGGTCCACACCAATGGCAGTCAGATACTGCACAACTGCAGAGGTCAGGGAAGCAGCGTCACAGCGGTCAACTGTGATCAACGTCAGAAACTCGGTAACAACCGTGGTGGTTTTGAAAAACGTGGCGTAAATGATTAGATGTTTCCCATGTACGCGGTCAGTGCTTTCGTCGAGCAAAATCCCCATCCACGGGGATTCCAGGAGGTGAAGGTGCTGGGACTCTTGGAGATATGTCGCGTGTGCTCTCAAGCATTCTTTGAACCCGTAACTGCCAAGCACACAAGCGGAACGAATCAGTATTAAACATAAACAGGAGAACCCGAAACCATAGCCAAACAAAACGAGTCACACTCACTCGGTATAGTATGCGCCGTAACCGCCAACCGGAGGGAGGTCAGGTAAGCCCTCCTTAGCGAGAAACCAGCAGAGCGGCACGAACATCGCAATGGGAGCGTCTGCCTTGCAGACGAAGAGGGCGATATGAAGGCACCGTATGATGTGCTTTGTCGAAGCATCGGTTGTCTGCCACCGTGTTAGAGTAGCTTGTTTCGCTTTGGCCGCCTCTGCCAACGCTTCGTTCTTCAGTGCCTGCTTGTGGGCTCGGGAAGTGGAGTGAGAGCGGATGCTCCCCACCTGCAAGTCACGACCTCCCTCTCCTCTAATCCCGAAGGCCGTGTGTGCTCCTGGATCTCCGTGTTTTATGCAAACCGCACATTTCAAAGATGGCCTACCGTTAGCCATTCGGATGAGGCGCAGCCATGAAAATTTACCTGCCCATTGGGTGTCGAATTTGCTTTTAGCAACATCGAACTCAGCTTCGGCACTTGCGGTAGGAGGGTTCGGCTCGGCATGAGCAGCAGGACGGGGAGGTGATGTCGCTTTGCGTGGAGGCGGGGCGCCCCAAAGCGTTTGATGCGTGAACGTTGCACCCACGCGCTGACGTTTCAATGGCGTCGTGCTAGCTGTTGACAAGGTCCCTGCAGTTGCCCTCGACGAGCCTTCGCCACCGCCAGGAACAAGGACCAGCGACGGGTGTGGCTCGAACGCGGAGGGTGAATTCGGTGGCTCGAACGGGTAGACCGTTCCTACCTCACACTCCGGCGAGGCGTCACGCTGTGGCAGCGTGATGGGGACGGTGTAGTTGTCGCTAAGGCGGGGTAACACCCCAAGCACGGATAACCCGTTTCTGGTGCTACCAGGGGGATCTGCCTCTGCAGCAGGCATGATTGAGAGACGACAGTGTGCTGTAAGAGAACGATGAACAAGACGAGGTCACTTTGGGATAGCTCGAACCCCAAACAGGCCCCGTTGGATTGATGGCTGCGCTGCGCGGGCAATGCATGGCTGCGAGTGCAGCACCACAATGGCTACCAGCCGTTGCGTGCGACAGCACGAAGCTGTGCTCGAGCGCTAGGTGACAGATTTGGCAGTGGGACTGGTGTGGCAAGGCATCAATTCCCTTTGCGCTGGCAAAAAAAACTGTAAATCCGGCGAATAGGAGGCAATGGCGGCCCGCCAACCAGAACTGCAATGTTGCACCTGTGGACCAACTTGACAACTGAAACTGTGGGCCAGTGGGCCGTTTTGTCTGCTCTTGACCTGTGTCTGTACCTCGTTAAGGAAGATTCGGCAACAGGGTAATGGAAATCGCTGTCAAATGTTGTTATTGGTTGTAGGCTGCAGTGAGTAGCACGCTAAGGAGTACAACACTCTTAGGGTTTCTATTTGTATGCCTTGCTCTCCTAAGTCAAACATTCCGTTGCATTCACTTTCTAAGATGGTATCACGAGTAGGTTTAGAATCCTTGCCTAGCCTAGCCTACCTCGCGCCCTCCACGCCCTAGAGCGTCTCCGCGCCTTACGCGCCCTCCGTCACGTGCCCTAGCACCCTCCGCGCCCTTGCGCCCTCCGCGCTCTAGAGCGCCTCCGCGCCTTACGCGCCCTCCTCCACGCGCCCTAGCGCCCTCCGCGCCCTAGCCTTGAGTAACGTGGCCTCCGCGCCCTCCGCGCCCTAGCCTCGAGTAACGCGGCCTCCGCGCCCTCCGCGCCATACGCGCCCTTCGTAACGCGCCCTCCGCGCCCTCCGTAACGCGCCATCCGCGCCTCCGCGCCTAGCCCTCCCCTACGCGCCCTCCACGCCCTCCGTATCGCGCCTCCGCCCCAGCCCGTCGCGTAACCCGTGGCCCCTGCCCCAGCCCGTCGCGTCGCCCGTGCGCCCTGCCCTAACACGTGCGCGCCCGAGCGCCCTGCCCCTAGCCCGCCGCGTCGCCCCGCCCCGCAGGTAGCGCGCCCCTCGCAGAAATCGTGCCCCGCAGGGAGCGCGCCCCGCGGGTAGCGCACCCCGCAGGCAGCGCGCCGCGCGGGTAGCGCGCCCCGCGGGTAGCGCGCTCCGCAGGCAGCGCGCCCCGCGGGTAGCGCGCCCTGCAGGCAGCACACCCTGCAGGCAGCGCGCCCCGCAGCGCTTTAGCGCCAGAAATAAAAATTAATTAATTAAACCCTAAAAAAAAAGGGGTTCAGGGAGGGGGGCTGCAACTGTCGCCCGCGTTCCTGCTTGCCGGACGACCTGCACAGATCCCTACCTCCCGCAGCCGTCAGTACTGCAGCCCCTTTGTCGCACGTACTTTCCACTTCCACTGGCTCCACTAGCGGCAGCCGACAGCCGCACTTACAGTCTCTAGCTCCAGCAGTTCTCACTCCAGCCGTTCTAGCTCCAGCCACTCCTAGCTCCAGCCGTGCCTAGCTCTAGCCGTTCTCGCTCCAGCCGTTCTCGCTCCAGCCGTTCTAGCTCCAGCCGTTTCAGCTCTAGCCGTTCCAGCACCGGTCGTTCCTAGCCTAGTTTCACCTCGCGCTCCTAGTTGTTCTCGTGGCCGTCCCTAGCTCGTGCCGCTCCTAGCCTTTATCATGGCGTCCACTAGGGTTCTCCAGCAGCAGGGACAGCAGCAGCGGCAGTTTCAGCAGTGGCACCCGCAGCAGCAGTGGCGCCCTCAGCAGCAGCTCTGCCCTCAGCAGTTGTGGCGCCCTCAGCAGCCGTGGCGGCCTGGCGGTTCGGGTAGCGTTGGCTGCAGCAGCGGCCCAGCCGGCTTGGGGGCTCGTCGCGGTGGCCGGGACGTCGGCCCCTGCCAGTACCGGATCCTGACCGGCCCTGGTTCTGGCACTACCTGCTGGCGGCCTGACCACTCTGCACCGCGCTGCTACAGTCGCCTCGACGACCTATACCGTGAGCGTTTTGGGCCTGAGTCGGCTCCCCCGATCTGGCCCGGTTTGTTTCGTAGTGGTTACCCTGTGTTTGATATGTCTATGGATGCTGTTTATTCTGTCACGTACGGATCTCTTGGCTTGCGTGTACCTATCTTAGGAGCTTTGCCTGTTGCTATTGTAGGTACTTGCGCCTTTAGTGTAGGTGCTTGTGTAGTCACTAGCCCAGCCGTGACGACTGCTGTTGCGTCGCTCTCCTTCACGCTGGACTCCGGCGCGTCCCAGTGCTTCTTTCGCGACCACACCACTGTCACACCTCTTTCGGCTCCAGTCCCAATTGCCCTGGCTGATCCTACTTCAGGACCAGCAGTTGCTCGCAGCTCGACCACTCTCCCGTGCCCAGCTGTCCCCTCTGGTTTCCTCACTGGTCTCTACATCCCCTCGTTCTCTCGGAACTTGGTGGGTGTTGGATACCTTCAGGACCGGGGGATCACAGTCACTTTTCCTGCGCACGGGAGGACTGCGATCTGTACGGACTCTTCCACTGGGGCAGTTCTTGCCACGTTCACCAGAGAGCCCCACTCAGGTCTCTTCGTCCTGCACACTCCGCCCCCGCAGGTATCTGCGTCTGGTCAGGTTGCTTCGTCCCCCCCGGTAGCAGAGTCCGGTCAGGTTACTGCGTCCCCACCGGTTGCTGTGTCCGGTCAGGTTGCTGTGTCCGGTCAGGTTGCTGTGTCCGGTCTAGTTGCTGCGTCTTGCTCGTGCCAGTCTTTCACCCACCGGACCGTCTTGTGGCACCACCGTCTTGGCCACGCGTCGATCCCCCACCTCCGCACTATGGCTAGACACCGTCTTGTCTCATGTCTCCCTCGCGTCTTCCCGTCGCTCCCTCCCTCGCCTGCGCCGCCGTGCACTCCTTGCGTCGCCGGCCGTCTTCGTGCCACTCCGCACTCCTCCTCCTTTCGTCCGGCCACTGCTCCCTTCCAGACACTCCACTTGGATGTCTGGGGCCCTGCACCTACGCAGGGACCTGAGAGGGAGCGCTACTTTTTGGTGGTCGTCGACGACTTCTCCAGGTACACCACGGTGTTTCCTCTCGCGAAGAAGTCCGATGTGACTTCTACGCTGATCCGGTGGCTTCTAGCCACTGAGGGCACTCGTGGCCGTCGTGTCTCCTGTCTCCACTTTGACCGTGGGGGTGAGTTTCGCTCAGGCATTCTTGCCGGATTCTACGGCGAGCAGGGCATTGTACAGTCCTGGACGCTGCCGGAGTCCCCACAGCAGAATGGGGTTGCTGAGCGCCGCATTGGCTTGGTCATGGACATCGCCCGCACGTCCATGATTCATGCCCGTGCGCCCCATTTTCTGTGGCCCTACGCGGTTCGCTACGCCGCTCACCAGCTGAACCTCCAGCCGCGCGTCTCGCGGCCAGAGGCTTCACCGACCAGTCTTTGGACCGGGTCCCCTGGTGTTGGGTCAGCTTTTCGTGTCTGGGGCTGCCTTGCGCTTGTCCGCGACACCTCTGCGGACAAGCTCTCGGCTCGCGCCGTCCCCTGTGTCTTCCTTGGTTTCCCGGTAGCCTCGGCCGACTGGTCCTTTTACCACCCGCCCCTCCACCAGTTCCTAGACTCCCGTGACGTCCGGTTCGACGAGTCAGTGTCCAACTACACCAGGTACCCCTGTCGAGGTCTCCCGGTTCCCCTTCCCCCCCTTTTCCTCGCACCCTCTCTTCCCCCTGCTCCCGCTCCTCCGGTACCCCCACCCCCCCCTGGTCCTGCCCCGTCAGGTGTGTCTCACGCTACCCCTCTACCCTCGGTCGCGCGTCAGGTAGCGGCTCCCTCCCCGCAGTCCTCCTCACAGTCCCCTCAGCAGCCTTCGGTACTTCCGCGACAGGCTACTGTGGACTCGGTTGGTTTTGGAGCTGGAGGTGCAGCCACTGGCGGTACTCGGTCCGGGGGTGCTCGTTTGGGGGTGCTGGAGCTGGAGGTCCTGGCACTGGAGGTGCTAGTCCTAGGGGTGCTGGAGCTGGAGGTGCTGGCGCAGGTGGCGCTAGCTCTGGGGGTGCTGGAGCTGGAGGTGCTGGCACTGGAGGTGCTAGTTCTGGGGGTGCTGGAGTTGGAGGTCCTGGCCCTGGCGGTACTAGTTCTGGGGGTGCTGGAGCTGGAGGTGCTGGCACAGGAGGTGCTGAATCTGGGGGTGCTGGTGCTGGAGGCGCTGGCACTGGAGGTGCTGGTTCTGAGGAGACTGGAGCAGGAGACACTGGTTCTGCGGAGTCCACTCCGCCTCCCCACCGCCACGACACACGTCTCCAGGCGGCCCGTCGGCGTGAGCGTGAGGAGCAGGTGCTGTTGGAGAGGGAGCGGCAGGAGTTGCGGCAGTTGGACCTGCTGGAGCAGCAGCAGCAGCAGCAGCAGCAGCAGCAGCAGCAGCAGCAGCAGCAGCAGCAGCAGCAGCAGCAGCAGCAGCAGCAGCAGCAGCAGCAGCGGCGGCGGCAGTAGCAGCAGCAGCAGCGGCAGCAGCAGCAGCCGCAGCAGCAGCAGCCGCAGCAGCAGCAGACACCGCCGCCGCAGCTGTGACCACAGCAGCTCCCTCTGGAGCGGCAGTTGTTACCACCCGTGAGTGGCCTTCGGGCCCTTGGTCTTCCCTCCTCTCCTCTTGTTCACACTCCGTCCCCTCCAGCGTTTGGTCCCACGTTTCCTCCTCCTGACGCCCGTCCGGCGGTCTGGTCTTCTCCTCCACCGCAGTCTCCTCCACCTGGTGTCCCGCACTCTCGTGTCCGTCCCTGTCCTCCGCGTGCTCGTCACTCGTCTCCCGTTACCGACCTCCGCACTGCCCTCCTTTGTTCGTCTCTTCGTCGTCCTCCTCCTGAGTCCGTTCTCCCGTGTCCACCTCCGTCCTCTCTCCCTTTCCCCCCTACTCCTGTCACTGACTACTACCGCGCTGTTCGTCCTGTTGTATCTCGTGTCCTCGCCACTCTTGTCATCGACTCTCGTTTCCCTCCGTCGTCTGTCTCGGCTCTCACTGCCGCTGTTGCTGAGTTTGCTGCCGCCAGTCGCCTTGACTACACCACCCGTGTGGTGCCAGCTCCTCCCTCCCGTCCTCTGTCCGTCGGGGGTGGGTTTGCCCTTGGCTGTGACGTCCTAGAGGACAGAGAGTCTGAGCTGGAGTACAGGGCAGCCGCTTCTCCCTCTGTCTGTGCCATGCTGCTATCCCCTGAGGGAGACCCCGACGCCCTTGACATACCGACTCCTCGCACTTACCGTGAGGCAGTGTCAGGGGCGTGGGCCTCACAGTGGAAAGCGGCTATGGCCTCGGAGTTAGCGTCTTGGAGATCCACAGGCACCTACGTCGACGCAGTTCCCCCTCCCAGGGCGAACGTAGTCGATGGCATGTGGCTCTTCAAGGTGAAGCGGCCGCCTGGTTCACCGCCTGTGTTCAAGGCGCGCTACGTGGCTAGGGGTTTCAGTCAGCGTGAGGGAGTTGACTTCTTCCAGACCTTCGCCCCGACCCCGAAGATGACTACTCTTCGGGTGTTACTGCACGTAGCAGCACAGCGAGACTACGAGCTGCACTCCCTTGACTTCTCTACTGCGTTTCTCCAGGGCCGACTACACGAGGAGATCTGGCTGCGCCGCCCTCCTGGCTTCACTGACACCTTCCCACCTGGGACGCAGTGGAGCCTGAGACGGCCAGTCTACGGTCTCCGCTAGTCGCCCCGTGAGTGGCACAACACTCTTCGCTCCACGCTTCGTGACCTTGGGTTTTGTCCTTCCTCTGCCGACCCGTCGCTGTTTGTTCGCACTGGTTCCACTCCTTTCTTTATACTAGTGTACGTCGACGACTTGGTCTTTGCCACAGCAGACAGGGCAGCTCTGGCTCAGGTGAAGTCCGAACTGCAGAAGAGACACACGTGCACTGACCTAGGTGAACTGCAGCGCTACCTTGGCCTGCAGATCACTAGGGACAGAGCCGCTCGCACCATCACATTGACTCAGTCACACATGGTGCAGCAGGTCCTTCGGCGGTTTGACTTCCAGTTCTCCACCACACGGCCCACTCCTCTTGCTGTTGACCACAGACTCACTGGCCCCTTTCCCGATGAGCCTTTTGAGTCCAGTGGTCCCTACGCAGAGCTGGTGGGCTGCCTCATGTACCTGATGACTTGTACTCGACCGGACCTCGCCTTTCCCCTCAGCGTCCTCTCTCGCTTTGTTGCGACTGGGAGACACCGTCCTGTCCACTGGACAGCTGCTGTGAGGGTGGCGAAGTACCTGGCGACTACATCAGGCATGGGGCTTGTGCTTGGAGGGACTCAGCCAGTGGCGTTGACTGGTCAATGCGACTCTTCCTACGCTGACGACGTGGAGACTCAGCGCTCGACTCAGGGTTACTGCTTCAGTCTGGGAGCTGGTGTTGTGTCGTGGAGGTCTACACGGTCGTCGTCTGTGGCTACTTCCAGTGCAGAGGCAGAGATCTACGCTGGTGCCATGGCGGCATAGGAGCTTCGCTGGTTGACCTTCTTGCTCGCCGACCTTGGTGAGCGGCCTCGCTCTGCACCGACCTTGTACGCTGACAACAAGGCCATGATCCTCCTGTGTCGAGAGCCTCGACTGGAGAGCAGAGTGAAACATATTGACGTGAGGTACTTCCTCCTGCGAGAGCTGCAGCGACGCGGCTAGGCACGCCTGGACTTTGTGGCCTCAGAGGCCAACACTGCAGACGTCTTCACCAAGGCCTTGGCGCTTGGTGATCACCACAGGTTTTGTGTGCAGTTGGGGCTTGTTGAGGTAGGCCCTCGGTTGCTGTAGTCTTGTTGCTTGCTCTGCTTGTTGTGTTTTCATATATATATCCTAGTGAACTCTTGAACTGGCCTTGTGGCCGCTTGCTTGCGCTCGGAATTTGTGTGGTGTCCTTGAGATCCACCCTGAGCTTGCCTTGTTTCTTGCTTTGACTGGTCTTGTGACTGTTTGTTCACCATGCTTGCATTGATGCCCCTCACTTAGCCTACGGGGGTGTGTCAAATGTTGTTATTGGTTGTAGGCTGCAGTGAGTAGCACTCTAAGGAGTACAACACTCTTAGGGTTTCAATTTGTATGCCTTGCTCTCCTAAGTCAAACATTCCGTTGCATTCACTTTCTGAGAATCGCACCCTGTTCTGAAAGGGTAATTCAATTTTGAGTCAGGGTATAATATTTCATAGCCTTTTTGGTCTAGGGTAAAAAAATTCATACACGGATTCTGAAAGGGTAACTGGGAAAAAAAGGCCGCTCATCAGGGCAAACAGGGTAAAATACCCTGATAATTTGGGCCCCTGATGTGTATGGGCATAGCAGCAAGCAAAGCAGAGTAGTGGGGTGGAAATTGCACAATACAGTACCGGTAGATACAAATAAAGAGGACGAATAATGAGAAATTCTTGTATAGGACACACCCTCCAGATTTTCCTACCCTGGGCTGGGTGCTTTGTTGTACCGGAACTTCCTAAGCCCTAAACATCACAGTATGCGTCCTACACCAGGCACATGTATGAACAGCAAACACGCACGTACACGCACGCGTCTTGACACAGCTGTACCAGTGGGTGACTGCTTCGTAGGACCTTCCCGGTTCGCGCTAACATGCCCACCCCAGCCAACCACACCGGTGTAGACCACGCTAACAAAATCCAAGCACAGCCACACACACACAGTCGCACACCTTTGCAGTTTCCCATCCCTCCCATCCCACCCCTGACCCGTCTCGATCACAGCCGTTGCAAGAATGGGAGAAAGATCCATGACTTGACTTGTATCACACAGTACCGTATGTGCAGAGGGTTGGGTGGAGTGGTGTGGGTGTGTATGGGGTTGTGGTGCGTGCGTGAGCATATGTGGGTGGCGTGCGTGCGTGCGTGCGTGTGTGTGACTCTCTCGGGACCATGGCACCACAGTGCCAGTCCCGCCTAACCAGCAGCAGCAGCAGCAGCAGCAGCGGCGACTCTTGAAGCAGCGCAGAAACAGAGAGCGCACGGGTAAAGCTGCCACGGATCAAGTGGGCGCATCCCCGGCTTTACTCTAACAAGGTGAACCGAGCCTGGCGTGTGTGCGGGATATGAGGCATGGCGTGTGCGGCATGTGGCATGTGTGTGCGCATCTGAAACGGACAGCCATGACCACCAGGAACCAAGTAGACAAGGCAACCCCGTCAAGACCACTGCTGCGAGGATGATACGGTGAGGAGGAGGACGTTCACAACCTGGTTCCAACAGGAGGGCCATGCGAGTCCAGTCCATGGTACCAACACACCGCACCACCTCCCACTCACCACCTCCCACCCACCACCTTCCAGCAGCAGCAGCAGCAGCAGGGGAAGCAGCCAGTCTCACAGCACAGCATGCATATAACCACCGCTGTGCCGTCAAGACCACTGTTGCGAGGAGAGGAAGGTGAGCACGTCAACGACCTGGCTCATGACTGGGCGGTGAGTGGGGTCCATGGCCAGGCACCACCGCGCCACCTCTGCCACCTTGGCCGCGGCAGCAGGCGGGGGCGAGGCGGCGATGAGAGCAGGGTCCATGATCTTGACTATGTCCGCTGGCTGCTGCAGGTACGGCCGCGCATACAGCACCAGATTAGCCTCCGGGTGCGGCCTGGTGGGCGAGAGGGTGGAGACGATAAGAGGGCGGAAGAGGCGGCGATGAGAGCAGGGTCCATGATCTTTACTATGTCCGCTGGCTGCTGCAGGTAAGGCCGCGCATACAGCACCAGATTGGCCTCCGGGTGTGGCCTGGTGGGTGTGACGGGGGGAGAGGGGATGGGGCGGGAGGGGTGGGGGAAGTGGAGAGGGTGCGAGGGTGGGGAGAGTGACGGGACGAGTGAGGGAGGAGGTATATACAGCACGGGATCAGTGACGGTGCACGGAGGAGGGATGCATGCGTGGGAAAGGGGAAGTGAGGTAATGGGGCTGGAAGGAAGAGGTCGTAAGACTGCAGATGTGGAGTTGTTCGCTTGTCCTCCTTAGTGGCATTGGGCCATTGGCTTAGGGCAGTGCAGTGTCCTCCTGGTGCAGTGCAGCTCCACAAGTGCCTGCTGCTAACATGCCTTTGCCTTAAAAACTGACTCTTTGATATTCATCCCCAACTGCCCACTCAATGGTTCTCAAGCCCTAGCATGCGCATAGTCACAACGTGCAGGAACTCCCCCACCCAGGATTGGGGCGGGGTTTGTGGATTGGGGATCGCCTGCCCCACTCCCCTCTGCCTGCCCCACTCCCCTCTGCCTGCCCCACTCCCCTCTGCCTGCCCCACTCCCCTCTGCCTGCCCCACTCCCCTCTGCCTGCCCCACTCCCCTCTGCCTGCCCCACTCCCCTCTGCCTGCCCCACTCCCCTCTGCCTGCCCCACTCCCCTCTGCCTGCCCCACTCCCCTCTGCCTGCCCCACTCCCCTCTGCCTGCCCCACTCCCCTCTGCCTGCCCCACTCCCCTCTGCCTGCCCCACTCCCCCCTGCCTGCCCCACTCCCCCCTGCCTGCCCCACTCCCCCCTGCCTGCCCCACTCCCCCCTGCCTGCCCTACTCCCCCCTGCCTGCCCCACTCCCCCCTGCCTGCCCCACTCCCCCCTGCCTGCCCCACTCCCCCCTGCCTGCACCACTCCCCCCTGCCTGCCCCACTCCCCCCTGCCTGCCCCACTCCCCCCTGCCTGCCCCACTCCCCCCTGCCTGCCCCACTCCCCCCTGCCTGCCCCACTCCTCCGTGCCTGCCCCACTCCCCCCTGCCTGCCCCACTCCCCCCTGCCTGCCCCACTCCCCCCTGCCTGCCCCACTCCCCCCTGCCTGCCCCACTCCCCCCTGCCTGCCCCACTCCCCCCTGCCTGCCCCACTCCCCCCTGCTTGTCCCACCACCCACTTGCCCGCCCTACTCCCCCTTGCCCTACTCCCCCTTGCCCTACTCCCCTGCCTCACCCCTCGTCTGCCCCACTCCCGCCTGCATGTCCCACTCCCCTTTTTCCTGCCCCTGTGCACGCCTCACCGCTTGCCATCGATGGAGGGGCGGCCAGTGAGGAGCTCCAGCAGGAGCACGCCGAAGCTCCACACGTCGTTCTTGCTGGTCAGCTGCCCCGTCAGCATGTACTCTGGCGCCGCGTACCCCGCCGTGCCCCTCACCTGCTCCCACACTCACGCACGCATGTACGCATACACCACATGGGGTTATGGTGCAGGAAGGCAGATGGGTGGAAGGCAAAGGTGTAAAGGTGGGGCTTGTCTGTTGCGACGAGAGGGCTACGGAAGGAGCAGGAGCAAGGAGGGGAGAGGAGGAGGCCACTCCCCACTCCCCACTCTCCACTCTCCACTCCCCACTCCCCACTCTCCACTCCCCACTCCCCCCACTCTCCACTCCCACTCCCCACTCTCCACTCTCCACTCTCCACTCTCCAGCACAGCGTATGGAAGATGGAAGATGCTATAAAGAGCAGCATCACGCGGCCATGGCATGGCATGGCATGGCATGGAACATGCTTGAGAGGCTACCAGCGCCTCTCAACGATGGTATATGCACTATGAACAACCGCACCCCACAACAAGGCCAAGGAAAACTGCCTCCTTCCTGTTGCAAAGAGATGCTTCCCTTGTGCGCTTACCGAACACCCCCCTGCGGCCCTTCACCATCTCACTCCATTCCCCCCCTCCCCCTGCCCACGCGCATGCCATCTAACTTTTGAGTCGACTCGGAAGCCATCAATGCCCATCCCCCTCCTCCCCGCACCAGCGCCCTCCATCCCACCCTTCCCCACCCTTCCCTACCCTTCCCCACCCTTCCCCACCCTTCCCCACCCTTCCCCACCCTTCCCCACCCTTCCCCACCCTTCCCCGCCATGCCCGACCCTGGCATGGCCCAGCCCGCCCCTCCCTTCCCTGCCCCCCTCTCTTGCACGCACCATGGTGGAAACATACTCAGAGTCCCCCTCAGGCCCCTCCCGTGCAAGGCCAAAGTCGGAGAGCTTGGCTTGGAAGGACTCCGTTAGCAGCACGTTGGACGTCTTGAGATCGCGGTATATCACCTAGTGGTGGCACGGGTGTGGGGAGGGACGAGGGGAGGGAGAGAGTGCGGGAGAAGGGAGGAGATGGGGGGGAAGAGGGGAGATGGGGGGGGAAGAGGAGAGAGAGAGGGAATGAGGGGAAGTGGCAGAGGCAGGTGGCAATGGTGACGGGAGAGGTGCTTGTGGATTGGATTGGATCAAAGGTGTTGTGGATGTGGCGAGGGGCACACTGATTGTCTTGAGGCCGCAGGGGGAGAGGGGGAGGAACGTTGGAGGAGGGAGGGAAGGAGAGAGTAGGGGAGAAGGGGGGGAGACGGGGAGAGCAGGGAGGGGAGAGGAGAGTAGCGAAGAAAACATGTGGCGGGATGAGTTCGATGGGAAAGGAGAAGTTATGGCAAATTGGGAGAGTAGAGATGCGAGGATAGGCGAGGAGCGGAGAGGAGAGGAGGAGCAAGAGGAATAGGAGAGGCAAGAGGAGGGCAAGAGGAATAGGAGAGGCAAGAGGAGGGGCAAGAGAAGGGCGTTGGATGGCACGCGACACGGTAAGCAGGAGCCAAAGGAGCCTCTCAGCAGTCATGCTAAAATTCCCCTCAAACTCCACCCTTCCCTCCGTGCTGCCCCTCGCCTCTTGCCCACGCCCGCAGCAACGGCCATCCACTGCTCTGTTGTGACTCTGCTGCACTACTTGCCTACTTGCTCCACCACTCCCCCTCCTCACCCTACCTCCCACTTCCCCCCATTCCCTCCACACTCTCTCTCTCCCCTCTTCCCCTCCCCCTCCCCTCCCACGCACCCGGGGTTCCATCTCCTCGTGCAGGTAAGCCAGCCCCTTGGCAGCGCCCAGCGCCACCTTCAACCGCGTACCCCAATCCAGCACCGCGCCCCGCCCCCCACCCGCCCCTTGCCCCGCCTCCCCCACACCCCCACCACCAGCAGCAGCGGAGGGATTAGCAGATGAGGTGGAGGAGGGGCGGAAGAGCAGGCGGTCAAGGCTGCCACGTGGCAGGAGCTCGTAGACGAGCAGGCGGCGGTCGCCCTCGGCGCAGCACCCCATGAGGCGCACCAGGTGTGGGTGGCTGGCCGCTGCTAGCAGACTCACCTCCACCATCCACTCCTTGTGCCCCTGGGAGACGGTGGGCCAGGAGAAGGGTTGGAAGGGGGGAGTGCGGGTATGGTACGGAGAGAGGGGGGTGAGGTGGAGGGAAACAGGGGCGGCGAGGGATGGTTGGGTTGGGAGGGAGGAGGGAGGGAATAGATGGATGCGCAGTGGGCGTGCAGTCTGCTTATTTTGCTGGAGGCTGTGCATTCGGGAAAGGTTAGACCGTGACTGTGAGTGTGAGTGTGAGTGTGCGTTGGGTGTGTGACTGTGAATGTGCACACACCTGCTTTGTGTGCAGGTACTTTTGGGTGCGTGAAAGTAGGAAAGAGCGAGTGATACAAACATGTGTGTGTGGGGCGATGGGGGGCACGGTGTGAGTGAATGAGCGTCTGTGTGTGCGTGTGTGGGAGAGTATGAATGTGTGAGTGTCCATCATGCGTGCACACGTCTGGGGGGGCATGCAACCATGCTGAGCGCCAATCCATGTGAGCAAGCCAGAACAGCATTCCTAGAGGCCCACCACCCTTACGTGCATGCTCTACATGGTTTCTAATCATTCTCAAGAACCAACTAGTCCTCACCTGCATGCTCTTGCTATTCAGCTTCTTCACTGCTACCTCCACCCGCCCGCCCGCTCCCTGCTCCCCCGCTTCCCCCCTCTCCTCCGCCCCCTCACCCTCCCACCCACCCGCCTCCAGCGCAATTTCGCCGCTGTTACCAGCTTCGCCAGCGGGATTCGCTAGGGAAGGCAGAGCCACCTCCCCTCGATACACCCTCCCAAACCCCCCGCTACCCAGCAGATTCTCTGGCGCGAAATTTTTGGTGGCTGCCCGGAGTTCTGCATACGAAAATATGTGCAGGCGATGCCGCAGCTGCAGCTCCCTTAAAGCCTCTATATCCGCGTTCTCCAAAGGCCCTCTCTCCCTCCCGCTGCTGCTCCCCACGCCACTCCGCCCCCTCTCCCTCTCCCCTTTCCCCTCCCCTCCCCTCTCCCCTCTCTCCCTCTCCCTGGCCTTTTCTTTCTCCTTTACCGAAGGGCTCTTAGGCGGGTACGCGCTAGGAGTATTGGGCGCAAGGGGCGGTGTAGACGCGGTGGACGAAGAGCTATTACGGGAGAAGTTTCTAGTGAGGATGCCGGGCAGGTTGGATCCACCGCCGCCGGGGAGCGGCAGCACGGCGGACGACGGTCCTCTTCCCGACGACGACCCCCGCCGCCCCGACGACGGTCCCGCGGACAGCCCGTCCCGGCGCAAGCTGCGCCCGCTCGCGCTCCCCCCTCCGTCGCGCGACGACGGGCGGGAGGACGTGGCGGAGGAGGAGGACTGCGCGGAGGGGCCGGGGGAGCTGCGGGAAATGCGCGGGGAGGAGGAGGAGGTGGAGGAGGAGGAGTGGCGGTGGTGGTGGTGGTAGGACGAGGAAGGGGTGGTGGAGCGGCGGAGCAGCGGGTGCTTTCCGGGCCCCGCCACGTCTGCTGCCGCGGACCCGCTGCTGCCCGCGGGAGCAGCGCTGGGGGCGGCGGACGGCGCGTGCTTGGAGGTGCGGAACATGGGGCTGGCGGGCGCGCTCATGAATCCCCCCAGCATGCCCGTCCGCTCCTGCTTCCCGTGCTTGGAGTGTTTCGAATGCTTCGACGCCTGCTGCTGCTGCTGAAACTGTACGTGTCGAGAAGCGGTGCCGACGACGTTTATCGGGGGAACAGGCGAACTGTGTGACCGTTCGCACGCGACTGGCTGGACCGCCATCGCTGCTTGCCCCTCCTCACGCTCTTGCTGCTCTCTCCCTCCCTCCCCTTCCTGCTGCTGTACCGTTTGCTCTAGTTGCTGCTGCAACCGCAGCTGTAGCTCCTGCTGCTGTCGCTGCTGCTGCTCGTTCTCCTCCCCGCTCTCCAAGTGTCCTAACGTCGCGTCACTCCCTCTCCCTGACCCCTCCCTAACGCCAAACCCCACCGCATTCTCTTCCGCGTGCCCCTCGCCGACACCCTGCTCTGCGGTGTTCCCCGCGCACACCCGCCGCTGCTGCTCCCGCTCGAACGACTGCGATGCATCCACCTGCTGCGCCTGCGCTTGCGCCTCCGTCTGCGGCTGCGCTTGCGCCTGCGCCTGTGGCTGCGGCTGGGCTTGCGCTTGCGTTTGCGTCTGTACCTCCTGCTGCTGCTGGCGTCGTTCCTTTTCCTTGCTCTGCGATCGCGGCACGCCTGGTCGCACACCGTACCCGTCGTGCTCGTCGCCGTCGTCGCACGCGTCGTCCGCAAGCACGGGCCGCGTGCACCCGTGCCACGAGTGCCCGTGCACGCCGCGGTGCTGGTGCTGATGGTGCCGCGGCGGGCTGTCGTCCCGAATGACCTGCCCGAACCGAAAACAATTCATACTGCCCGGGCCCGGCCCGTTAGGATCTCTAAACCGTCAGGCCTGGCCTAGTGTAGTGCGCGAAGGAGTAAATCCAGGAACCGGAGAAGTCGAACCGCTGGTGTGAGACGAGAAGCGAGGCGTTTAGAAACCACACGGAGAGATCTGGCAGCAGCGGGTAACTTTCGCAGGACCGGTTAAACTAGAAGATCGAGCAGTACGGGAAGGACATGTGAATGAGCGGATCTGGCGGGATTCCATGATCTCGAAAGGTCTCCCTAGCGTACATGCGAAAAGTCCCGCGGGGCTTTGAAGCCTAATGCGCTTGATCTGACTCGTTACGACTGTTCACGCGAAAGCCTCAAGGTTGGTTCAAGTGACTCGAATGATTGCCCGATACAAAGCGACACTGATCGCGAAGTTATGTGCCTTCACGCGCCGTTGGTGCATTCGGTCAGTCCCGTGTGGGTGCAAAGAAACCTGTGTTGCCTTGCCAGCTCCTATGCTGGCGCACCAAGCAGTCTGTTTGTAGTGATGGAACACGAGAGAGGAGCAGAGAAAGCACGGACGGAGGACTCGAACCGACCCCCCTGGACAAGTGCACTGGTAACAGTGTTCTTGGCAACTTGGCTTCCACACCTCCAATCCTCCATGCATGCATGCTTGCTGCAGCAGGTCAGCTCATCAGCCTGTCTGTTACGCGACCATGATAAGTGAGGGAGCTGCCTAACCTGCCGCGCATGCCCTTCAAGATGACATAGCTTCTGTCAGATGTCCTTTCTGTAGGGATGCTTACTCTCTATGACATATTCTGCTACCCAAAAAACACTCCAGATTAAGATATGAATACATGTTTCTCACTACATTTCAGTCTCATACTTGCGCAAGAAAACCATAACAACAGTTTTGTAGCACTAACAATCAAATGCATCATAATTTGGTCGACAGTTTAATGTGAGATTTTCAAAGGAGAATAAGATCGTACAATTGTTCCATATTCATATTCCGTGATCTCCCGGTTACAAGACCCCCCCGCATAAAAGCCCCGTGGGTCTTCTATCCGGACCAGGGGTCTTTTATTAAGTCAGTCCTGGAGAGGACCCGTCTTTTGACCCAAATCATTATAAGACCCCCCCTTAGGCTATAATGAGTGGTGTTAGTTCATGAGCTGGTTAGCGAGTCACACAAAAAACCACCAAATTCACTTTGTCAGGCGAATTTGTGGTCAAGGGAGTCAAGATGCAACATCAATCACGCGTTTTTGCCGCCCTTCAGGCAACAAATGCTGACGTGCCTGTCATTATTAGGCATTTCTGAACGTGCGGAAAGGAATCTGGGAGACTCGAGTGCGAGAATCTGAGAATGAATTTCCGCGCTGTGAAGGAATCCGAAATTCAGTACAGAAATTTCGAATTTCTTCAACACTGCACTACAAAATCCATTTTTCAGTAATTAATAGATGTCCAGGGGTCTTATGCACTTCATGTCATTACATAAGACCCCACAACCCAGTTCGAGCACATTTAGGATAAGACTCCCGGGTCTTCTAGGCGGGAGATCACGGTTAACGTTATGTCAAATGTTAATATTGCATGTTACTAAGCCCTCTGTTATCAGGGTAAAAGATCCTGATACCCTGATTTTCAGGGTGAAGTTAGGGGCCGTGCCCTGAATTTTCAGGATTTGGTTGTTATGTGCCATATGAGTTACGAATAGTGATTATTGAAACACTACTGTGCACTCCTCACCGCAGCAATCGAAGCACGCACTACCGAGAATGAAGACGAAAGGGCGGAAGCAACGCGAAGGGTCGCACGGTTACGAAAGCATCTGGACCGTCGGGCAGACAGCATCAGGCAGCAGCAGTGGCAAGGATTCTTCCCAGACAGTTTCGTAACTGTCTGGAGTCGCACGGTTGGTTCTCGATGTAATAAGGGAATGTACCCCTTAGAGTACATGGCTAGCTAGGTCGATTGGTATTCCCTTGTAATCTTATTTATAGTGCTGTATTTGCATGTTTTTATCATCTCAAGCATTTTACATTTACTCTGCTATTGAGGTCAAGGGCCCACCACTACACAACTGTGTGCGAACCTTCCTGAGGTGATCCTAGGCACGATCAACTTCTGATCGCAAAATGGTATGAGAGCGACTTAGGAATCCTTCGCACCGCCACCACCGAAATCTTCGGCGATCGAAAAGTGGTGTCCGGCACACGCTCACGCGTGAGAATGGCCGGAGGATCTGGTGGTCAGACGAATCTGACGGCTGAAGCGCAGACCAACCCGGCTGCGACAAGCGAGGAAACGACGACGATTGGAACCGCCGCCCTCGCACAGATGCTTCAGCGACTCACCAGCCTGGAGCAACAACTCCAGACATTGCGGAACGGCGACGCGGGAACTTCCTCCCAACCCTCTCAACCGGCCTCGAACGGCCACAATACCGCCCCGCACACCTTCTCCCTTGACACCAATGGCTCTACTCCCAAAACTCTCCGTCCCAGCGAAGAGGCAATTCTCTCTGCGCAATCAAGGTTTTTTAGCATATCAAAAATAAAGACAAGTGTATGCTTTGACGGCAGAGACTTCTATACGTGGAGCTTCGAGCTGGAACTGCTACTGCAAAACGCGCAAATCTTTCATTACTTCGACGGGAGCTACTCGGGACCCGCTGAAGACACCGACGATGCCAAGGCGAGGTACTACAACGAGTCCCTGATGGCGTACGGAGTTCTTTTGCGAAACATGTCGTCGGCGGAGCAATTGAGCATTCGCTCATACAAGACAACGCCTGCTCCAGCCCTCGACGCTTGGCGCCACCTGAACGGGGTCTACCAACCGAAGGACTCGGTTTCGTCGAGCCGCCTACTCCAACAGCTACTGGAAACAAGAATGGCACCAGGGGAGAAGGTCAACAGCTACATCAATCGCTGTCGGAGCTTACGCGATCAAATCGCGAAGTTGGGAAGCACGATCTCTGAGGAGATCTTCGTGAACATTGTGCTTCAAGGGCTCGGCCCAGAGTGGCGGCCCTGCAAGGCGCTTCTCCGACAGCAGGGGGTCATCTCGGAGGCCGCCCTTTGCGCCGCCCTTCTCGTCAAACAATGGGATATGGACCAGCAGCGACCAGCGCCGCGACGAGACAGGGAACGCCTCGCCTTCTACGCCGACAACACGGAAGAGCGACGGCCGCGGCGCCTTTACTGCAAGATTTGCATAAACTTCGGGCACCTGGCAGATCGATGCAAGCATCGATCTCGCCCTCGTCAGACCAATCCGAGCAACTGGTCCGGACGACAAGACGCAAGGAACGACTCGCGTCCTGCCCAGGGGCATCAACCCCCACCGCGCAACCTGAATCCAACGATTCAGCATCAGCAGCAGCAGCCACCAACTGCTCCCGTCCGCAACGTCATGGGCAACATGACAATGACGAGCGGATCTCGTCGTCCCCGTGCGCGCTCACCATCACCGGAGGAAGCACGTCACCCAATCGGAGCGTTTTCGAACAACAATCCGTTCAGCACGCGCCACGATTTCACCGACGACGACAACCAGGACTGGAACCTGCCAGTCCCGCTGCTCGAGAGCCCCCCACACGTACCCGATGCAAGGGCGGCACCGATCGACTGGATCGTGCGCGAACAATTTCTAAAGGTTGACACACCACACATCGTTACTCCGCGACTGGCGCTGCTCGCACGTAACGACAACAGGCGCTACAACACGTGATACCTGGATAGCTGCTGTGGGCAGCACATGGTGGGCTCCGAGCGTTACATATCCAACGCCGTCGCCACCCCCGCCGTCACCTATGTCACCGTGGCGAACAACACGCGCCTGCGCGCAAACGCGCAAGGCATCGTTGTGCTTAAGGCACATGGGAGAAAAACGCACATAACGCTGAATGATGTGTTGATCGTGCAGAACCTGTGCTTCAATCTCCTCTCGGCGGCGCAACTCATGGATTGCGGAGTTGTCCTCAGCACCGACATCGAGACGCGCGACATCCTGCTCCACTTCACGATGCCGAACAAGACGCGAAAGCAGATCGGACGAGCCCACGCCGAGAACGGAGTATACGTTCTTGATTTCGACATTCCCGACTGCAGCGGGGACTCGCAGGAACTGATCGATCTCGTCCCCCTGCGCTTCAAACACATCCACCGCCGTGATTGGAAGCATCCTGATGGGCGCGCATGGGTGCCACATCACCCACACCCGCGCGAAACGGCGCTGCATGACCCAGACCCCGACGGCATCTGCAGAAATTGCCATACGCCCACAGCCTCGACGAGCGCGATCGCCGGCCGTGGCCTTGCCGCCATCGCCGAAGCAGAACGGGAAGCACCGCCTGAAGAAGGGATGTCTCACTTGGAGCTCGAGACAGTGACGCGCATCGTTTTCGGAACGGAGGAAGCGCCTCTCCCGGGACCTGCATCACAACACCTTCACGGAATGTTGCGCGGCGTCGGCGTCGGGACCTTCGATGCGGAAGGAAATCCGCGACCCTACACGCAGGCGAATTTCCTGGAGATCTACTCTCATCAGCGCGACTCTACGAAGAGGCTCACCGTCGCACAAGAGGAGGAACTGGCGCGCCGCGAAGCGGAAGAACTTCGCCAACGGAGCCGTGCGGAATCACGCGGAACATTCGCCTGGAGTGGATGGGGCGAAGAAGGGAGCGCCTCTAATGAAGGGGGGTGGGGAAGCGCTGGCGGATGGGGCACGAGCGACACCGGCGGCGATACCGGCGGATGGGGGGCCGCAACTGGCGGCGCCACTGGCGGATGGGGAGCAGACACCGGCGGCAACACCGGCGGATGGGGCGCCGCATCTGGCGGCGAGACGAGCGGCTGGAGAGCCTTTCGAGAGGACCAAAGGGGGGGAGAAGAAGAAATTGAGGCGGCCATTGAGGCCGAACGTCCTGTTGTTCCTCTTGGCCGTCCTCCGCGCCGCCCTGCACCCGCACTGCCCCCACCCGACATCCCGCCAGGGAGTGACCCTTGGGACACTATC